TTCTTTCGGTTTCGCCTTCCTGTCCCCCAGCAGCAGGCCCACGTCCCACTTCCTGAGCCCCCTCCCGGGCGGCCCACGCAGCTGAGGGCCCTGGGAGAACACTTTCCAGGCCCGAGCCCTGGGCACACCCGGCCGCGCCACCCTTCTGGCTCAGCGCCTTGTTTCCTCTGCAGCGAATGTCTTCTCTCTTAGTTTGCTGAATTTCTCATTGCTCGTTCACCCGCCAGTTCAGCCACATGTCCGCTCTTGCCCAAGACAGCCCCTGGATCAGTATTCTGTCAGCTCCCAACCGACTCTGCCCTCTAAGCTGGGCACAGCCCTCGCCGCGGGCCCGTCCCCAGCACCCCCGCTCCCTCCCCGTCCTCCCCGCCGCACGGCCCTGCGTCTGGCTTCCCGCCGCGGACCTCCCTTCTCCCGGCTTCGCCCTCCGTGAGGCAGCGCTGAGAAAGGGCGTAGGGGTCCCTTTCTTGGCCTTATCGTTCTGAAAATATCTTTTCTCCACAGTCACTCTTTTTATTTTTTGTAAATAAGAGTTTACTTGAGCCAGATAAAGACATGCGCCAGGAAGCTGGATGGCAACGCTCCCCCTCTGCTGTGGCTGTCGATGCCGCGTTGGGCTGCGTATAGAATTGTGGCTTAGAAGGCATTTAGCCCCGGCTGGGGTGGCTCCACGGACGGAGCGCAGGACTGCAAACCAAAGGGTCATTGGTTCAATTCCACGTAGGGCACCAGTCTGGGGTGCGGGCCAGGTCCCCAGTGGGGGCGCCTGAGAGGCGGCCACATGTTGCCGTTTCTCTCCCTTTCTCCCACCCTTCCCCTCTGTCTAAACATAAAATCTTTAAAGAGAGGGAGAGAGAGAGAGAGAGAGAGAGAAAGCATTTACTTCAGGCGGTTGACAACTGTCGTCCAGCTTTGAGGAGCCCAAAGCCACTGCGACCCTACTCACGTGTGTTCGCTTCTTGTTTCTCCCTGGACACTGTGGGGTCCCTTCTTTGTCCCCAGTGCCCTAAAATCCCCTCGGACATCTGGCCACCTGGCTGCTGAAGCAGGAGAGGGGGACTTGGGAGCAGAGCCTGTCGCCTGGGACCCTGACGGTGCAGTGCACGGCAGGACACGGCCCCTGGCCCTCCTGGCTGACCGGGTTCCCCAGAGAAGTCCCCTTCATGTCCTGCCTCGAGGGGAGAGGCCCGGCTCCCAGCCTCCCGAGCACTGAGGCCTCTGCACCGAATGTGCTGGCCTCTCGTCCTCACCATGGACCCTCCACCCGCCCTGTGCCTGATGTCCCCCAACCCAGAGACCGTGGCCAGCCCAGGGAGGAAGCCCGGAGCATGAGGTCTGGTGGGCGCGCACCCGAGGTCCACCTATGGGTGGGGCTGTAGACAGACCTGCCCATGTCGCTTGGCTCCACTTCACTCGCAGTATGAGACGCCCCTGTGGCCATCGGTGTCTGAGCCTCTGAGAGGAAGTGCAGAGCGCCAGGGTGAGGGGAACATGGGGGGGCCTGCCTGCGTCCTGGGGCCACCATGGCGAAGGGCCCTTGTCATGACGTTGGACCCATCCCCCAACCCAGGGTGACCTCCCGATCCTAGTCAGCGGCTGGGCCTGCGAGGGGCTCGCTGGGCGGCTGGGGCCTCTCTTCTGGAAGCTGGCCCAGCACAGCCTGGCCCGTGGCCACCGCGGCACCTGCCCCCATCTGTGTCTGTGGAAATTTTCACACACCTGGTCTGGGGCGCCAGCCCCGGCCCCTGTGGGTGCACTGCCTGATACACTATTTGTTCGCTTCCCCGTCACTTGTAACAACTACTGCATGTGTGAGCCGCTTGAATCCCGCAGTTTCTGCGGGCTGGCAGGGCAGGAGCCGAAAGCTGGGTGGTTCTGGCTCAAGGCCCCCGGGTGGCCGCAGCGAGGACGCTGGCTGCGGCTCATTCCCGCGGACGGCAAGCTGCCGCCGGCTGCTGGCACGAAGCCGCAGCTCCTCGCCACACGGACCGCTCCACGGGGCTCCTTGCGTGTCCTCGGGATGTGGCGATGGCTCCCCCCAGGATGAGTGATCCAAGACAGGGCCAGGCAGTTGCTACCCGTCTCCTGAGACCCGGCTGCAGTGTCCCACGCTATCGCCTGGGCAGTGCCCTCCTGGTTACGCTGTTGGCCCCGGGCGATGTGTCCGGAGCCCCAGGCGAGGGCCCCCGCCCCCAGGCTGGACGCCTGACTCCGCGTGCCAACCTCACACTGACCCCAGCGCCCAACGAGAGGCTCGGATGCTCATTTTACAGCTGAGAACCAGGATCGAGGTGTTCACCTTAGAAATAAAACAGCTGGTTATTTTACCAGCAAAGACAGGTTTACCCAGGAACAGTAAAGAACTGTAATTCGGGACAAGCCGGCTGCAGCAATGAGCTGTGGGCAAGGGCAGGACAAAGGAGAGGAATGTTGGTTTTTAAAAACATTTTATTTATTATTTATTTTTAGAGAGAGGGGAAGGGAGAGAGGGAGAGAAACATCCCTGTGTGGTCGCTCCTCATGTAGCCCCCACGGGGAACCTGGCCTGCAACCTAGGCCTGTGCCCTGATGGGGAATCGAAACAGCAACCCTTTGCTTCTCAGTCCGGTGCCCAATCCACTGAGCCTCACCAGCCAGGGAGAGAGGGATGTTCTTTTAAGGAGGAAAAGGAAGTGGGTGGTTTGGAAGGAAAGTCCATTGTAGGAAAGCGTGAGTTCAGGGGGTGACGTCTCTCATTTCTTATTGGCCGTGTCCGGGGCAGCTCCTCCTCCTCCCAGGACATGCCACGCCCAGTCAATCTTGCTTCACGTCCCGGAGAGCGACGGAGTTTATCACAGAGTCCCTACCCTGGACAACCCGTCAAGGGCCCATGGGAGGAGCTAGGGCGCAGGGGTGGGGTCTCGCTGACAGAGCCCAGAAGAAAGGCCTGTGGCCCCTGGGCTTCTCTGCCCATCCTCCCCTGTCCGGTCTGCCCGTAGGACATGGAAAGCCTTTCTCCTCCCTAATGAATTCTGTTTGGTGACAGAATTCCTAGTTGTTTTTGGTTTACAGCCAACTGTAGGCGTTTGGAAACTGTGACTGTAAGCTACATGACCTATTTCACCCAAAGCTAATCGATCGAAACAAGAGTTAAGTTCCTACGGAATCGTTCTGGTCACAAAAACACCAAACTTCTAAATAAAGACCCCAAACACTTCTAATATGAAATATTAAAATCAATGTGAACTGTATATACATGTTAAAAGGTTAATGAAAACAAGACCATTATTTTCCAGCCCGCTGATTCCAGTCCAGGGTCCACCCGACAGCGCGGGGCGCGGAGCGCGGGGCGGGACCCACCCCGGGTGGGACGCCCTCCCATCCGTCGCAGGGCCGCCCACGCCCGCGCCCGCACCCACACTGGGACAGTGTGGACACGCCGTTCGCCTAACGGGCACATCTATGCACATCGTTGGGACGTGGGAAGAAACACACACACACGCGAAAACACGTCAATTCCCGTGCTCCCGGCGGGGCAACGACGTTTATCCCATCAGCGTTTAATGAGAGAAAAGACACTGCTGGAGGACCCGCTGCCCGGCTTCCCCCGCTGCGGCCGGTAATCGACGAGGATTCCCCCGTCGGGGTCTAATGCTGGGGTCCCAGCCCCGGGCCGCGGACCTGCGGGACCGGCCGCGAGCCAAGCCCGCCTGAGCGCCGCCTCCTGTCTCCTCCCTGCCCCGCAGCGGCCGGCTGGCGCAGCTCACCTGAGCCCCGCCTCCTGTGCGTCCCCGCCTCCCCCACCCCCGCCCCGTCTCCCACGAAACCGGTCCCCGGCGCCGAAAAGGTTGCGGACCGCTGGTCTAACGGACCCCTGTTCCCGGAACTGACCTCCGGAGGTGCCGCGCGCGAGCGCCCCCTTCCGGCCCCCGACGCGTCTCGGCGAGGCTTCCCCGCGACTCATCCCCGTGACCTACCCCGGGTTATATACACTTAGGGCCGCAGCCAGGTCGGCGCCAGCCCTCCCAGCGCTGGGGCCGGTGCGGTGGCGTGTCCACCAAGACGTGTCCATCACAACCCCGGGGGGGGGGCGTTCTATGCGCCCCGCGCTCTAGCCCCCACCGCTGCCCTGCCGGGCTCCGACCTTCCAGCGCAGGGCGGCGAGCGCCCGTCGCTTTGCCGACACTCTCATCTGAGCTGCGAGGCTCCGCCCGGGCTCAGCTCCGACACCGAAAGCAAGACGCTGCTCTCCGGTGCCGGGGCGGGCGGGGCAGGCGCGGGGCAGCGGTTCTGCCGGAGGAGCCCTGGGAAGGACGCTCGTGCGCCTGGGCATCGCCGGGGCGAGCTCGAACTCCGAACAGGAAGTCTGGCGCCGAGCCGCGGAGGAAAGTCTCGGAGGGGATCTGGGCGGCTGGCGAAGGAGGGGGACGTGGAGCAGCGAGGGTGGGAGAAGACCTAACCCTGCGGCTTTCTGCGCCGAGACCCCGAGGGGGGCGGGCTGGGGCGGCACCGCCACGCGCCCTGGGTGGGCAGGGCGCCTCCTGGCTCAGTTTAGAACTTCGTTCTCCCTGCTGCCCCTTGTGGCCAACCGCTTGCCGCTGGGGGATTTGCACCTACGCTCGGATCCAAACCTCGGGGTCGTATTTGACCGCCCCCATCTTCCCCCCCATCAGTAGTAACATCGGCGGCCGCTCAACCCCGCTCCACAGCCCGGCCCGACTCCCCGAAAACGCGGCAGGTGCGGGGGTATGGGCTGCTAGGACAGGCACCCGCGGGGGTGGACGCGCCGGGGCCTGGGAGAAGACAAGGGGCGGAGCCTGGCTCTCAGCGGAGGGTGGGACCGGGCCCTGGGCGGTAGGCGGGCCCGGGCTCCGGTGGGCGTGGCCGGCACGCCGCGACGGGCGGGTGGGGGACTCTCGGTGAGGGCGGATCCGGGCTCCCGCGGGGGGCGGGGCTCGCAGGCTAAAGTTCCGGGGGAGGGTGGTGGCTTGCCAGGAGCCGGCGCGGAAGTGGCCGGCGGCCGCGCGCCCTCGGCCCAGGCCCGCAGGCATGTCGTCGGGGGACGAGGGGTCCGGCGGGCAGAAAGGGGCCCCGCGCGCGGCCGCCGCGCTCTGCGGCCTGTACCACGAGGCCGGGCAGCAGCTGAGGCGCCTGCAGGACCAGCTGGCCGCCCGAGACGCCCTCATCGAGAGCCTCCGCGCCCGCCTGGCCGCGCTTGAGGGGGACGCGGCGCCGTCGCTCGTGGACGCACTGCTGGAGCAGGTGGCGCGCTTCCGGGAGCAGCTGCGGCAGCGAGAGGGCGGCGCCGTGGAGGCGGCGCTGCGCCAGGTGCGCTGGCTCGGGTCGGGGCGGTGGGCGCGTTTGCGTGCCCTGGGGTGCGTGCGCGGGGCGCGAGGCCCATCGTGGGGAGGAGGGACGTGGCCCGTGGTGGCTGTTTCAGTTGGTATGTAAAGTTATCGCAGTTTCAGGCGTGCAGAGAGCGGTGCGACTCCCACGCCTTACGTACGCTGTGCTCACCCCACTGGCTCTAGCAACCACCTGTCGCCCCGCAACCGCCTCAGTGTTGCTGGCGTGGCTCCCCGTCGCCTTTTCGTCCCCCCTCCCACCCCCGCCCCTCGGGCAACCACCTGTTCGGTCTGTTTCTGAGATTTTTATTTTGCTCATTTTTGTTCTTTAGAGCCTGCATGGTAGTGGAATCCTGCGGTATTTGTCGTTCTCTGCCCAGCTTGCTTCGCTGAGCACAGCGTCTGCCGGGTTGTGGTCGGCACTGGGGGCGCAGGGAGGACCGGGAAAGGCAGGCTTCTCTTTGGGAAGCTCATGTCCTCAGAGAGAATAGACGTTGTAGGGATAATCTGCTGCGTCTGTGGAAAGCGCTGATAGGATGTGTATAGCGTATGGTTTCATGTTGCGAGAACACGGCTTACCACAGGCGAAGCACAGGGGTTGACCCCTTGCGCGTGGGGCTCCGATGTGACCGTCAGTCACCGTCGCCACCCAGGTGATCGCTGAGCCTCACGTGCCGGACTCTCCCTATGGGAGCGGAACGCGCCCGAACACCCTGGGATGCGTTTTCTCGTTTCTCCCAACACGGACGACGGCGCATTCATCTCACGGGGGTGTGCGCAGTGTCCGAGCTGTGCCGGGCTGCGTGAAGCGCTCGTCCCGCGTGACCGGAGCGAAGGGTGGGTGGACAGCAACGCGGGAAGTGGCTGTCGAGTTAGTCGGGGGTGGCTGGGCAGCCTCTCCTGCTCCCCAGGTAGCTGACCGCGCGTTGGGGCGGCGCCCGGCGGGGGGAGGCAGGGGTCAAGGTCCAGTTCTCGCCTCCAAGGGCGGGTCGCGGTGCCCGTTGCAACAGGGACAGCGCGGACGGAGCGGGGAAGCGCCGAAGGCCGGGTTAGGACGGGGCTAAGCCAAGCCGAGCTTCCAAACCAGAACGCTGGTGGTATGATGTCAGCTCTGTTTCTGTTTTAGATATAATTGACCTAGGACATGCTAGTTTCAGGCATACAACATGTCTAGATGTCTGCGTGTAGGGTGAAACGTTCACCGCACTGAATCTAGTTAGAGCCGTTGGTCAATTTTCGTATGTTGAGCCATCCCCGTGTTCCAGGGACACACTCTGACCCGGTCATGGTGTGTACAGTAACCCTTTTAATGTGGTGCTGAATTTGGTTCGCTAGTATGTTGCTGAGAATGTGTGCTTGGTGTCCCTAAGGGACAGGGGCCTGTGGGTTTTGTGCGGTCTCTTTGTCTGGCTTTGGTGCCCGGGTAGTACCGGCCTCATTAAAACAGAAGCGTTCCCGCCCCTTCAGCCTTTTGGGGATCTTGGGAAGAGTCCGTATGAATTGGTCCTCAAGCGTTCGGTGCGACTCCCCCACGGAGCCCTCAGTTGCAGGGCTTTTTATTTCTTCCTTTTTGAGGATTTTCGATCACTGATTCAATCTCCTCGCTCTCCAGAGGGCGATTCCGTTTTCCCACTTCTCTGCGGTCGGGTCTCGGTGGGTTTTCCGTCCCTAGGGGCGTGTCTGTGTCGCGGAGGCTGCGTGCGGGCGGTGCCCGGCCGCTCACACACAGCTCTCTTCTACCCTCTGTGATGTCTGCAGAACTGGTAACACCCCTGCTTCCCAAAGCGGGGGAAGGCCAGGCAGGATCCGTGTGGGTAAAAACCACGGGGTCCAGGTGCCCACGGACGTCCCGGGAGAAGTGCCCCGGCGGTGAGGTGCCTCTGGCGAGTGAAGCTGGGGGGAAAGAGGAGCTGAAGTTCTCATTTTATTTCCCTTCCGTACGTTGGACGTTTTTGTTCTAATGCAGTTATGAGACCAGCAGTTCAGGGCTCCCTTAGAGGTGTGGCCCTGCACCCCATCCCCCCAGGGAGCGGAGCGAAGGTTCTGGGTTCCTGGTGTCTCGTACCTGGCAGGGCCACATGCCCTCCCGCTGTGCCCCCCGCCCCCCGCCGAGGCTGCTCCCCAACTTTTCTGAAGCGGCTGTTTCTCATCTGTGGGAGGGGCCTCGCCCAGGTCCTGTGACAGGTCGAGATTTCTTTGAAAATGGGAACATTAAGGCCGATACAGAGGAAACCGCAATTTTAAGGACTTTTTTCTTTTTTAATTTAAATGATGTGATGGGGTTTGGGTGTATTTTGAGCTAGGGTTTGTGCCTGCTGCAGCTGCTGTGATAAAGTGCCTTAAACTGGGTGCTTAAATCAGCGGAAGTTGTCCGTTTCAAGGTGTGGGCTGGCGCGGGGCCCCGGGCCGGGGACACAGGTGCTCGTGGGCTGCCTTCCTGCTCTGGCGGCTGTGCCAAGCTCGGTGTTGTCCGTCTTGTAGGTGCCACACCTGTCTCTGCCTCCGCCTTCACGTGGCCTCCTCTGCATCCTCGTGTCCCTCTTCCTACAAGGCCACTAGTCCTTTCATGAGTCCAGTTTGACTCTGACTGTTCACGCCTGTAAAGACCCCGCCGCCAAGAGCCGCCACATCCCCGAGCCGCAGCGCGGGCCGTGGACGCGTCTCCAGGGGCGGCCATCACGCTGGGGATCTGCCTTCCCATCGAGAAGCATTGGGAGGCACTGCACTTGGTCATTTGATGATGTAAAACCTAAAATTATAAACTTGCTCATGAAAACAGGACTTTGGATGGGGTTTCAGGCAGGCTGCTGGAGGCCGGGGCCTGCGGAGGGGGCCGTGGGCTGGGACGCCGCCGTGCGCCCGAGTGCGCAGGCTCCCTGGTGCGGGGGTCCGAGCGGTGCTCCCTGAGCTTCACGGCAGCGTTTGTCTCCGATGTTCCTTTTCACGAAATGAACTCTGCTTTTAAATCTTCCATTAGGAAATTGAGAGACTCTCTGAGCAGTTGGAGGAGAAGGAGAGGGAGGCCCAGCAGCTGATGAACCGGCCGGGGCACGAGTGCGAGAAGGAGGTTGCCCTGCTGCGGGGGCAGGTGGCAGAGAAGGAACGGGCCCGGGCCGCCAGCGACGTGCTGTGCCGCTCCCTCGCGGATGAGGCCCACCAGCTGCGGAGGACTCTGGCCGCCACCGCCCACATGTGCCAGCACCTGGCCAAGTGCCTCGAGGCGCGACAGGGGGCCGCGGGGGAGCAGAGACCTGAGGTAGGCTGGGGTCAGGAGGTCGGCAGGGTGGGGGCCCTGGCTGCAGACCCGACAGCCCCAGCAGCCCCAGCAGCCCCAGAGGCCGGCGCCCAGGGACCCCCCTGCCGAGGCAGAGCCGGCCCTTCCAGGGGTCTCTTCTGGAATGGCAGAGCACGCAGAGCACGCAGAGCGCACTGGGAAAGCCACGCCTCGCCGGCCACGCCTCCCAGGCCTGCAGCTGACCCCGTGCCCGGGGCCATGGGGGAGGCAGCACTTTGGCCCCTCAGCCTTAGTGAAGACGGGGAGGCAGGCCGAGGGGCGTCCTGAACACATACGTGCACCCAGCAGATGATGAGACCGCGCGGAGCGAAGCGGATCGGCGCCTCCTGGTGCCCCAGGGGCCGAGGGCTGAGCACGGCCGTCCGTGGGCCCCTTGCATCTGAGCAGAGCCGGGCCAGCCCAGCCCTGGGCTGCCTGAGGAGCTGGGGCTGCCACCTCTGAGGTGGCTTTTGGGCTCATCACGCCAGGGGCCGCGAACTGGAGGCCCGGTTGTCCTAGGGCTCCAGTGTCCACATCGGCAAAGGTGCGGCCTGTGCCTGGATGTAGAGCCCAGCCCGGGACAGGCCGCACCTGGGCTGTTTCCCGGGGAGGGGGGGTTTGATGGGGGGAGGGGGGCCGCAAGGGTTTCAGCACCAGGAACCCCTTAGGGTAGGGCCACGGGGGCTCCTGGGCAGGGGGTGTTGGGAGCAGGGGGGCAGGGGGCCAAGAGAGCGATGGGGCCACCCCTGCCACCTTCCGCCCCACCCTGGGCCTGCGGGCGGGGAGCAGGCAGGCAAGAGGCCTTGTGCTCGCCTGGCGCAGGCCGAGTGCTGGGCCCGGCTGCGGCCGCGTTTCACCCTCCCGCCCCGCGCAGGGCCCCTCTCTCGCCCGAGGCTGCACCGGGGGTCCCGGGGGAGTGTGCTCGGCCGTGTCCTGGGGCGGACGGGGCGTCCCCGTCCTGAGCGGCAGGTTCGCTGGGAGACCCTCCACCTGAGAACCACCTGGGCGCTGGGCGGATTCCACAAACAGGGAAGCCCAGGAGGACAGGTGCGCGCCCGAAACCGAAAGGGAAAGTGCCTTCCGGGAGGAGGCCCCTTCGCGTCTGCCTTTGAGTCACTGCCATGTCCCTCTGGGATCCGAAAGCTCCGCACACAGCGGCCGGCCCGGGGCGAGCGCGGGGCCTGGTGGGGCTCTGCGGTCCCCACGTCAGCGTCACTTCCCAGCCCTGGACACGGCTGAGTCACCGGGGCCTCCCCAGCGCTGGGGTTGGCCACGCGCTTCCTGTCATTCAAGGGAAATTCTCAAGCTGGGGCGGCCAGCGCGCGGCGACTCTCGGGAGCGCGGCCGGCCCGCCCCTGTGAGGGCCGCCTCGGGCTGTGGCTTCCGCGCGGGACTCCCCTGACCCTGCCAGCGGGAGCTGAGTGGCCCCGGTCTGTGGACACGCGGACGTCACGTCACGGGCCTGGCCGGAGGGCCCCGGGGACAGAGGGCTGAGCGTGCCGCCCCCCGGCAGCGGTGCCGGGGGCCCGCCGGGCCCTTCCTGTGACTGCTTTGCTGCTCTGTCGGACGAAGGGCTGCGCCTGCGGCTCCTGGGACCTCGCTCTCTGAGTCTGGCTTCCTCCCCTCGTGCCACACGTGACTGAACGTTTGGTGACCCGGTGTCTCCTCTGTCCGTTCCTTCTGCAGCCAGAGCGTCCAGGCAGGGACGCCTCTGTCCAGGCTGCGATTGAGAAGTTACAGGAAGAAAACCGGCTGTTGAAGCAGAAGGTGACTCACGTGAGTGTCTGGCATCGCGCTCGGGGGGGCCGCTGTGAGCTGGAGGTCGGGCTGCCCCTGCGGCGAGCGCCGCCTCTCGCCCTAAAAGGACAAACAAGACACGTCCTGTCGCCCCGCCCCAAGGTCGCAGGCCGCAGGGGGAGGGGCACGAGTTACCATCCAACAGCCTTTAAGGCCAGAAAACAGCACCAGGTCTGCTTGTGTTTAAGACGCTCGTGCTTGTCCCCCGAGCTGGGGGGAACTCCCATTTATGGGGACACCTCCCTCACTTCGTTGTGGCTCATCCATAGCTTCCCATCCCCACGGGCGGGGGACGTGGCTTCCTTCAGCGTGCGCTGTCCTCAGGTGGAAGACCTCAACGCCAAGTGGCAGCGCTATGACGCCAGCAGGGACGCGTACGTGCGGGAGCTGTGGGCCCAGCTGAGGGAGCCCGAGGCGGAGCTGATGAGGAAGGAGATCTCCCGGCTCAACCGGCAGCTGGAGGCGAGGATTGGCGAGTGTGCGGCGGCCACGCGGGAACTGGCGGCGGCGCGGGAGCGGGCACAGATGCTGGAGCAGCAGGTGGGACAGGGGGCCGCAGCACAGGGCCCCTCACCTCCACGGGCCGGCGGGCCCGCTGCAGTGCGGTGACGCATGGGCGCCCGCTCTCCCCAGATTCTCGTGTACAAGGACGACTTCCTGTCGGAGAGGGCGGACCGGGAGCGGGCGCAGGGCAGGATCCAGGAGCTCGAGGAGCAGGTGGCCGCCCTGCAGCGCCAGGTGCCCCGCGCACAGGTAGGCGCGAGGGCTCGGCCCCGGGGGCGCTCCGCACCGCTTTCCCTTTCGCGAACTTCAAGTGCAGCACCTGCCGAGACCCCGGGTTCTTCCGGGGGGAAGCCGGCGCAGCGGAGTGTCACGAGCTCCCGGGCCCGTGTCCAGGGAGCACGTCTGGGGCCCCAGGCTCCCTGGTGGGAGCTCCCTCCACTGTGCCTGTCCTCGCAGTGACACAGAGGCGGAGGCCAAGGCCTGGGGTATCACGACACGAGACCTGCAGCGACCCTGTGCCTCGTGGCCTTTACTCCTGCTCCCGCCACCGGGCCCTTCGTGAGCACACAGACGTCGCTATGGCCTGTCCTTCGTGTTTGGGCGCCGGGCCACAGTGGGAAGCAGGGCGAGGGGTGTGTCCCCCTAAGGGGTGGCCGAACTGGGGACCTGGCTGGGCGGCCTCCAGCGCAGCCCATGTACACAGATCTCTGCCTTTTCTCCAGGACCCCCAGAAGCCAGGCTCCTGCCGGATTCACACTGGGAGCAAACTGCCCACGTGCTCAGAGACCGATGCCGTGGAGCTGCCGGCGCCTGCGGGCCAGCGGCCTGGGACTGGACCCCAGCGGCTGGGCGCCCCCAGGGAGGGCGGGCGCCCCGGAGCAGCGCGGGGCAGCCAGGGGGACCTTCAGTGCCCCCACTGCCTGCAGTGCTTCGGTGACGAGCAGGGTGAGGAGCTGCTCAGACACGTGGCCGAGTGCTGCCTGTGAGTCCCAGCGGGGACAGGCCGGGCACCCCCTGACGCGAGGTCAGGGCTGAGGGTGCCTCCAGCCCTTTGCCTCCATCCTGCATGCGCCACGGACAGAGGGCGCTCCCAGCAGCGCCGCGGTGGGGATGCACTCGGGAGGCCTGGCTCTGCTTTGGGCGCAGAGTGTGTGTCTCCAAGCTGTCAGGCTGAGGCCACGGTGACTGCCCTGCCCCAGCCCACACCCGGGGCGTGGCAGTTTGCTGGGAAGAGGCGGCTGCCCGGGGGGACCACATGCCGTTCCTCAGGGTGGCAGGGCCCCCGCAGGTGTCCGCAGAGCGGAGCGCGCGGCCCCCGCGGGGCGTCTTGGCCAGGAGAACGCGTGTCTGCCCTGGACTGCAGTGCGCTGCAGCGGCCACGCATCCCGCAGTTCAGGCACTTTCATTTCGTGTTCACTCATTTCTGTAATAAACGTGTCTGCTACCGTGACGGCTCTGAGAACGCGTGAAGGGTCCGGGGTGCAGGGGCTTTGCCTCGCTCAGGCGGGCAGGGGTCGGGGTGGCAGCGGGAAACGGGCCTACGGCCGCTGCCTCCCAGCGCCCCAGGAAGAGGGGCCGGCGGTGTCCAGCCAGGCGCTCACACTGTCCCTCCTGCCTGGGACACGGCCTCGCCATCTCTGCGCGGGCAGGCCCTCCAGCTGTAGTTGAGGGCCACCTCCTCTGGGGAGTCCCTGGGCCCCCGATCCGGGACGCGCCCGAGGAGACTTACTGGTGGGACGGGAAGGCCTGGCCTCACCGATGTGATGCGTCGGGACAGCCTGAGAACACCGGAGCGTGGGCTAGAGGACGGGGACTTCCCACGGAAGGGGAACCCTCAGACCCCCGGCAGGCCCCCGCATCGTGTGCGCCTGGAGGGCCGCAGTGCCCTGGGCAGAGCCAGCAGAGCCGCTGCAGGAGCTGAGCCGACCCCTGCACCAGGGGCCAGTTGGTCCCTGGCCGAGTGATGGTCCTGAACTCAAGGCTCGAGGCCTTTGTGAACACCTCGGCTTCCCTGTGAAATCCAGAAGGGCCGCCCTTGGGAGCCGGGCTGAACCCCGGCGCAGCACGGAGGGCCCTCCCCTGAAGGCGCGCAGGCGCCGGGGCCAAGGCAGAGGCTGTGCTCCCGGCTCCAGCAGCCGCGTCCGGGACCCACAGGCCAGCGCACGAAGAAAACACTAACGTGGAAGGCGAAGCAGAAAGGAGGCATTTCCAGATAAGCACAACGGAAGCAACTATATCCAGGAGACTGTACTGCAAGAAACAACTACAGAAGTTCCACTGGCTACAGGCGCGGCAGAACCCATGGGAGGGCAAATAGGACCCGGGACAGGCCCGTTACTGCGACGCCCGCCCCCACGGCTCTAAAACATGCAAACGGGGCCACCACGAGCTTCCTGGGTGGGGCTCAGGCGTGTTTAGTAAACTTAGACAACTATAAGGTTGTTGCTGACTTAAGGTGGACCGTAAGGAATGAAGAAAGCGTATTATGATCTCCAGATTAACCACTAAAAGAATAATGACCATCTGTAATGAAAAAGTTAGAACAATGTTCTTATTCCCTAAAGGATGACAAGTTAGGAGAACTGATGGGATAAAGACCAGGAGACACACAGAAAAGAGACGGTGCAGTGGTGAGGGGAAATTTCATAGCTCCAAATGTATATATCAGAAGTGAGGAGCCCTGGCAAGTGTGGCTCAGCGGACTGAGCGCCAGCCTGCAAACCAAAGGGTCACCGGTTCGATCACCGGTCAGGGCATGTGTCTGGGCTGCGGGCTGGGTCCCCAGTGGTGGGTGCATACAAGATACAACCACACGTTGTTTCTCTCCCTCTCTCTAGAAATTAGTAAAAATCTTAAAAGAAAAAAAGAAGTGAGGAAAGGTTAAAATACAGTGATCCAAGTGCACAGCTCAAGAAGCTAAGAAAGGAACCGCAAATGACCCCCATCCTCCCCCCAACTGGAAGGAAATAAATAAAAGAGCAGAAATCAATGAAACAGAAAAAGCAGAGAAAAATGGACAACTCCGTAAGTTAGTTCTTTTAAATAGTAATAAAACTGATAAACCCCTACCATGACTGATCAAGAAAGAAGAGGACACACACATCACTCATACTGGGAACGAAAGAGGAGAATCGCTGTGGGTCTTTAAGGTTGTAGAAAGGTAAGAGGGTACTATGAATGCTTTACGTTAATAACAAATTTGACAATTGTATCTGTAATTGAAAATCATTCACAGAAAATTCCAGGCCCAGACGACCTCACTGGTGAATTCTTCCAAACGTTTAAGAAAGAGGAAAGACCTTGCACCCCATTTTATGACAAGAAACCAGAGAAAGACGGGATGAGCCAGCCAAGGGCAACGTCGCTCAGGGACACAGAGGCAAAAATCCGAAACCTAAGAGCAACACATTCAACTCGGCATAAAAATAGGGTAGTGCCTCATCATCAGGCTGAACATGAGATTGGTTGGTATTTAAAAGCCGAACTGAATAAAACTCTTTGTGATTAACTGTGAGAAAAGCCGTGTGGTCATCTCAAGAGCAGCAGCAAAGGCACATGAAAACAGCCAACACCCACTCGTGGTGAAAGATCCCCGCAAACGAGGCACAGACGCAGTTTCCTCACCCGGGGCAGGTGCGTCTGCGAAACACCCGCAGCCAGTGCCGCTGGGGCTGCCTGTGGAAGGTCCCGGGGAGCTTAAGAAAAAGTTTAAAATTAGTGAATCCCCTTGACAATCTCAAGATACACAGTCAATATATGAAAAATCATTGTCTTCCTGTACGTTTGCAGCAGCTGGAAAAGCCAATTAAAGAACCTGTTGTGGGTTGAAGTGAATCTCAAAAGATACGTAGACCAAAACGATGCTCAAGTCCTTCCTACTCCCCAGCACTGCACAGGTGACCTCCCTAGGGAATGGGGTCTCGCAGATGCCACCTACGACGGTGTCAGGCCGGAGTGGGTGGGCCCCATGTCCGAGGAACGCAGCCCCAGGGAGGACACCCCCACGCGCAGACAGCAGAGCCTGCAGGGATGCACGTCCGCCCGGGAACGCCAAGGGCCGTCAGCGCCACCTGCGCCACCAGAGGCTGGGAGAGCCCGGAAGAGATGTTTTGCCACAGCCTCTGGAAGGAACCAGTCTTGCTGACACCTGGGTTTTAGAGTCACAGCCTGAAGAACTGTGAGGGAAAACACTCCCGTTGTGAGAAGCCCCCCATGACAGCTCTAGGGAACGCACATGTCACCCCAGGTAGGACAGCGTCCGAACTATAAAATGCTGAGAGAAAATTAATTTACCTGAAGTGTGCAAACCTCTACAACGAAGCCGTGACAGGCCGCCGAGAGGACTCGCGAGCACGCCGACGGAGGAGTAGACGCGCTCGCAGGCTCGGGCTGCCCGGCGGGGTCGGGACGAGCGGATTTCAAGCCCGCGCTCCTGCCCCGCTTTGCCAACTGCAGTTACAGGCACGTCGCTCAACATAACGCTGGCCGTTCTGCAGGCCGCTCGTTCCAGGCTGTTCTCTCAGTGCTTCATTTCCGTGACTTTCTACTCATATGCCACCAAGGTCAAGGTTTTATTTATTTACTTTTAGAGGGGAAGGGAGGGAGAAACAGGGAGAGCAACTTCGATCCACTGTCTCTCGCGCACCCGCACTGGGGACCTGGCCTGCAACCTGGGCATGTGCCCACACCGGGCATCAAACTGGGACTTTTTGGTTCGCAGGCCGGCACGCAATCCACTGAGCCACACCAGCCAGGGCTCAAGGGCATTTTCTTCTGAAGGCTCTAGTCTGTGAATTCTGTCCAGGGCATTTTTCATTTCTTTAGGAGTTTCGTTTGGACCTTTTTTGTGTCCACTGCCTCCTGCACCTTGTTTGTGTCCTCCTTTACATCCTTGAGCATGGTTAGAAGACTTAACAGTAACCATGTTAAGGTTCGCATCTGACACTCGTCGCTGGTCATGTTGGGCTCCGTTTCTGCTGTCAGCTCGAGAGGTCCCCCGACCGTGGATTCCGTTCGCCCTCCTGGCGGGCCTGGCGGTTTCTGCCCGGATCCCAGTGCTGTGCAGCTTCCTTGGTCTCGGTCCCGGGCAGGCCGTTTGGCTCCTTCGGATCAGTCTGAGCCTCCCGAGTCTAGCGTGTAGCCTCAGGCTTTCTTTTGGTCTAATTTAGCTCCGCTATGTAGGGGATGTCCTTCTAGGGACTCTGCACAGTGGCCGGCTGAGTATGACAGGGTCTTCCACGCCAGCTGGTGGACACATTAACCGTTTCAGCCCTGCTGCTTTCTGGCGATCCCCCCCAGATTCACAGAATTTTATTCCAGAAACGCACAGAAGAACAGATTCGTGGGGACGCTGCAGCTCTGCGGGGCGCTCTGGGCACGCTCAGTCCCCTCTTGTCCGGACCCCTGCCCCACAAGTTCCAGCCGCCTCGGCTTCTGCGAACGCCAGCCTCCGCTTCCGCCACTAGCAATCCAGTTGGGCTCGCGTGGCTCCTCTCCCAGGGCCAGGGCCTGGGAGCTGCCTCAAAGGACCCAGGTAGCAAAGAAATCCTGAGAACCCACCAAGTGGGAGGTATCACGCTACCTGAGATCAAACTGTACTACGCAGCTATCAAAACAGTACATATGGGCACAAAAATACACACATGGATCAAAGGAATGGAATGGAGAGCCCAGACAAACGCTCGCGTGCCGGCCCAGTTGCTCTGTAACAAAGGACGCCAGAACGGACAGCGGGGAAGGACCGCACGTGAAGTAAAGGAGGAAACTGGAAAGATACAAACAAAAGGAAAAACTTACTGCATGTATCTTGCGCCATAGACACAAATAAACTCAAACAGATTAAAGACTCCCAGGAGAGCGATTTTCCACCGCTGTGCCACAGCATCTTTACAGCACGGTACCGCCTCAGTCAGGGGCACTGACCTCGCTTCCCTTAGACTGTCAAATAAAAAATGACAACAGCCCACACAACACTAGCTGTCTGGTGTGAAGTAATCAAAATAACGCATTTTTTGGGTCAGGTCGACAAACAAGGTAACACGTGCTTTGGTGTACTGCGGAATTTTAACAACTAGCCTACGTGCGCCGTGAGGCGACCGAGGTTGGAAGTCGCTGTCCTGGGAGAAAACACAGGCAGCGTACTCGTGGACGCTGTCCCCAGCAATGTCTTTTTGGGTCTGTCTCCTCAGGCAGGGGCTACAAAGAAAAAATGAACACATGGAACTTCATCAAACTAAAAAGGTGTTCCATAGTGAAGAAAACCATCGACAAGACAAAAAGTCCTACCGAATGGGAGATGTTAGCCAATGGCACATCCAATGGGGGGTTATTATCCGAAATTTATCAAGAACTCATACAACTTTACACCCCCCCCCAAAGAATATTAAAAAATGGGCAACGGACCTGAATAGAAACTTTTCCACAAAGGATATACAGGTGGCCCACAGACATTAAAACACGCTCAACGTCACTCATCATCAGAGAAATGAAAACTAAAGCCACAACGAGCTATCGCCTCACGCCTTTGACATCAACAGAACAAAAACCAAAAGCACTGGCAAGGGTGCGGAGGGAGGGGGCCTGCGTGCTCGGCGGGCCGGGGGAGGGCAGACTGGGCAGCCACTGCGGAAGGCAGTGCGGGGCTTCCTCAAAGGGTTAAAAATGGATCTGCCTTACGACCTAGTGATCCCACTCCTGGGTATTTATTCAAAGAAAACAAAAACACTAATTCAAAAAGATACCTGCACCCCTGTGTACACCGCAGTGCTATTCACAGTGGCCAAGGTGCAGAAGCAGCCTCGGTGCACGTCCGCGGACGAGTGCGCGACGAAGGCGTGATACACATACACAACGAAACATGTGTTACCGTTTGCAACAACACAGATGGACCTGCGGGTACTGTGCTCAGTACAGTAATTCAGAGGAAGACAGCTACCACCTGATCTCATTTATATGTGAAACCTACAGAACAAAACCAATAATAAGCAAACTAGAAACAAGCTCACAGGGAACAGGCTGAAGGCTGCCAGAAGAGGGGGAGGGTTGGGGGGTGCAAAATAAAAATAATTAAACAGTAGTAGCTAAGAAAAAAATACATGCTTGGGACCCGGGTCCCCGCACAGCACGGCGCCTCAGGACAGCTGGCCTTCTTACCTGGTGGCTCAGGCCTCCGAATCAGAGTATCTCAGCAAACAAGGCTGAAGCTGCACAACAGAAGCCACGCAGCCTCCAGGCAGGGCTCCGCGCTGGCTCGGGGCCGCACCCCCTGCCCCCTCCCGGGAGCTGCCACACCCCCGCCTGTTTCCACGCAGGCCCTGCTGCTGAAACACGTCCATGCTTCGTGGCTGCGTATGGCAGGACAGTCTCTGTGGCAGCGGCCCCCACGGGTGCCATGTCCCGTGCGTGTTGCGCCAGCACACAGCATGTGTTGCTCACCCGCAGCCAGCCCTGGGGGCCCGAGGAGAACCCCCGAGGCTCTGGTGGATGGTGGGCTGGGTCCCCGGAGCGCGTGGCAGCGCAGACCTGGTGGGAGGGCTTTGCGGGGGGCGTGTCCGCGGCTGCTCTGCCTTCCGAAGCGGACAGTAGGGATGTGGATGGTGGAGCCTGGGGGCGTTGGGACGAAGACCCCAAACTCAAGTTACTTTGACCCTGTCATTCTGTGTGATGACCAGGAGTGTTCATTTGTGTCTAAAACCGTGAGGCGCTGCGAACTGTGGGTTTTTCTTTTAGAAATTTGAGCTGCGAAATCCCGCAGCTCTAGTCCTTTCCAGGACGACACCACTCGTTTTGCGTTGTTTTGACTTCCCTGGCAAGAGGCCCGCAGGCCAAGTGCAGTAGGGTGCTGTTGCTCTCAATCTTTCCAGCCACTGCAGTCCCTCAGCTCCTGTCGCCATGGTGTGAAGGGACACTCACACATGTCTGGCGGGGGCTCCTGAGGGGCTGCGCCGGGGAGGGACCTCACCAGGGACCCGAAGGTGCTGGAGCTGGGCAGCCCCCAGGCCCCGGCCTCGCACGGGCAGACGTCACCTGGTGGCGTGAAGACCCGCACCCATGCCCCGGGGGGGCTGGCCCTGAGGGTCGAGTCCCCCCGCCCGGGCCCTCCACGGGGCCCCGCGCCTCCGGCTGCAGGTCTGCCCTCTCTTCTCCGCCCCGAGAGCCAGGATGGCAACGTGGGCCCCGCACCCTGGAAGGTCAACGGCAGCAGGGCGGGGGCTGACAGGACACATGGCCCCCAGGAAAACAGGGACAGACATGCGTGCTGCGGGTGGCAGGACGGACTGGGGTGTGGAAGGTGGCAAGCGGGGTGCCCGCAGCAACTCCGAGTGGGGGCGGGCGCTCGGGGCGGGCGCCTGGGGTCCCCCATACCACCCACAGCTGCGATGGGATCTGCTCACACCGCAGTGGGACCCTGCGGTTCCCCTCAGTGGCCAGCGTGGCCCCGCTGACTGACGAGGTGGGGCCGGCCCCCAGCGCACGCTGCACGCTGTGCGGACCGAGGGGCGGTGGGCAGCGCCCTGGGGCACGGAGGCCCGGGCTGCCCAGCGGGCCCAGCGCCTTCCAGCCCCGGCCCTGCCCTGGGCGTGGTGTCCCAGGGGGCTGTGCCGGGCCTCTGTCCTCCGTGAGGACACCACTCCCGCCACCAGGGTCGTGGCCCAGCCTGTGAGCTCCTCTCCCACCCAGGAGACCCACACAGGCCAGCGCCTCGGCCCCATGCACCTCTGGCTGCCACCTGCCCCGCCCCTCGCCCCTGAAGGCCGCCGGCCCGGGTGCTGGGCAGAGCCGCCTCGGCCAGGCTCTCCCTGCCCCGCGCCCCCGGCCGCGCTCGGCTCCCCGGCCCTCGGGCCGGTTCGGGAGCGCAGGCCCGGCCTGTCCGCGCCCACTGCCGGGCGGGCTCCCCGCCCGTGTGAGGCGCTCCATCCCGGAACCAGACCCCCAGGGGCCGCCACCCCAGACGCAGGGCTCAGACCGCAGCCTCCTCTCTCTCCTCCTCGCACTCCTGCCCGCCGGCGGGGACGTCTGAGACCGCTCCCCGCAGCAGGCCCTCGGCACCCCACCCCGGGGCACACCGGGCAGTGGGACTGGGGACTCGGGCGCACTGTCTGCAGCCACAGCAGGTCCGCGCCGCTGTCTGAAAGCTGCCTGGAGACCTCAGAACAAAGGGACCAAGTGCAGATGCCTGTTTCCGTTGTAACGGAATAGTGTAAACACTATTCAGTCCTCATTCAAACCGCACTTCGCGTGTGAGACTTTCTGTTTCAGTAGAGACCCCGGCAGGGCTGGGGGGGTTCCTGCCTCTGAAGCCCCAGGTCGCGCCCTGCCCCTTCTCCCCGCCCGCTTCCCCAGCACTTACCACTTCGGCTGAACCCTGCCCTGCTGCCTGGGGGCTGGGGGCCGGTGAGGGCACCAGGAACCCTGAGCTGTCACCCGGTGGGGGGGGGGGGCCCTGGCCCGTGGAGGGGACAGCCCCCTGCACACCCTGCCACCACCACACTCCCATCAGCCCCAGCAGAAAGCAACCAGACGAGGTCTTCTGCTGTACTAATGTATTCCATCTTTCAAAAAGAAAGACATGATTTTAATATTACTTAACAATATGTTAAAGAGTAGCCAGGCAGGCCCGTGTTAATACAGTCGCACGCTGACAGACTGGATGGCGAGTGCGGGGCGGGCGTGGCCTCCTCACTCGCAGGGTCTCACACAAGCTGGCTACAGGTCAGGGGTCAGACACAGACGGTGCGACGCGTACACTCCGAACAGCAGATTGTGGAAGGGGGCGCACACCTGCCCCGCCCGCCCGCCCGCCGGGGTGGGAGCTGAGTGCCGGCGTCGCCCGCAAGGACAGATGACAGGACGGGGCGAGGTGCAGAGGCGACGGAGCCACAGGGGTGATGCAAACTCGTCTCTGGCCATGGCTCAGGCCTCCGAGGCCGCGGCGGCGGAGGATGCGGCGGGAGCTGCTGTCCGTATGACAGCGAAGAGCTACGACCGAAGGCTCACAGACTACACGCACGCGCGCGAGCAGCGCAGGCTGGCGCCGCGTCCTTGGTCCGGGGTTTTAGGCACCGTGGCCCACCGCCCCCACCCCGGCGCAGCCAGGCGAACGCCCATGTGTCCTTCTCCAGCTGGTCCTCCCTCAGTGGGCGGCAAAGGTGGCTTTCTTCAAGCTAAAATTGGACCAGTTGATGGACAGTCTTTGTCGGGTCTGTCGGGCGGAATCCAAGCAGAACCTGGAAGACAGAAGAGCAGAGTTACCTAAGCCTGCGTCCTCCTGCGTCTCCACGTGGCTGCTCGGCCGCTCCTGAGCCCCCCTTTGGGGCGCTGGTGGACGTCCTGAACGTCCTCTGGTGCCTTGCGCCGCCCCTTCCACCTTGCTCTGCAGGGCAACGCCCAAGTGGCAGTTCTGAGGAGCCCAGAGGGCCTCCGGCCCGCGCTTCGCCCAGAGGTCTGGCCCGCCCTCACCTGGCCAGAGCCACAGGCAAGCGACTCGGAACGAGAATTTTTACAGCACCATCTGCCCCTGCCCTGCCCTCAGGGGACGGCAAGGGCACAGAACCAGCCAGCCTCCCCTCCGCCAGGAGCACCAACAGTTCAAGAGCATTTGGAGAAGACCACGCGACGCCACCCGCATTAAATAAAAGAACGTGCATTTTCTTTGAAGAACCTCTACTATGGATGATCTCCGAATGCTTCACCTTTCCAGCTGCAACCTGGGTAGCCGACACCCAAGTGAAACCTGGAAACGGTCCCTGCCGTTTGCCCTGCAGGTGAAGTGAAGAGCACTCACGGAAACTGTGGCTCAGTTACCCCACGGCAAGCGCCGGCTGCCCACCGCCCCGTCTGGGGAGGGGGAGGCCTGCGTTGTCTCGGGAACCCAGGCACCTTCCCTGGCCGCAGCTGGTCAGAGCTGGGCTAGCGAGGTCACCTTCTAACCTCCTGGAAGCTCCCACTCTGACAGAACCGCAGCCCGGCTCCCAGCAGCCCGTGGCCTGGCCTGTTGCCCAGGCTGGCTGCTTTCTACCTACGCTCTGGACGCCACCCCCCCTCAGGCCCCCGTGCTATCCTCTGTGCAGAATGTCACACACACGTGTGGATGAACACACGCATGCAGGACACCACCACAGAAAGCCTGGGAACCGACCGGCTTGAGCCGCCAGCACCACCATCCCCAGGTACGGCTGCCCTGGGAGAGCCCTGTCCTGGTGTGCACGCTCAGCGTCCCCAACGCGTGCTCAGCACCAGCGTGGCCACGCACGTGTAGCTGCCGGGGAGCAGGACAGCGGAGGACTGCCCCACTTCTCCCGGGTGGCACTGCACCTGCGAGGCTCCTTCCTGGGCCCGGTCCTTGTTGGTGGCTGCAGGAACGCCGCTCGCGTGCAGGGCGCACAGGCAGCGATGGGTCGCTGCACGGCGCTGGCACCGCGTGGACGGCTGCGCTACGAAGACCTTGCTGGACCTGGTCCTGCCAAACTCTCCCAAAGGGTCTGGACCCAGTGGGCAGGCCCCGCCCAGCGCCGTGCGTCTGAGCACTTGTCAGCAGGCGTGTCTCCCCTCCGGTTCTTTCCGAATCACACTATCTTCTCACACGCTATGAAGCAAACTGCTGACTTAAACACCAGGGTTTTACTTTGTTCGGTGCTTTTAAGAACTCTTTCCTTATTGTGTGGTCAGATTTTCACCTACATTCCAAATTAAGAGTTTTGCTTGGCCCTGTGAGACCGTAACCCCCGTGGAGCTGGCCTGGGAGTGTGGCCAGGCAAGAACCGATCCACCCCAGTGCGGGCTCAGGCGAGCCCTCGCGGCTCCACCTGCCAACAGCCTTCGTTTCCACAGGGGCCCCGCGGCCGTCCTGTGCCGCAGAGCAGAGCTCGGCATCTGCACGGGTCTGTTTCTGGGCTCCGATGCCGCGCCAGCATGACAACGTTTGAACGCCCAGAAGAGACATTCCCGATGGAGACGGGATCTCTGGGTTCTGCCCACTCTTCCGGGAGCTTGGCAATCCTTCATGTTTTGTTTTGGTTTTTGGTAGATGTAACAGACACACAGAAGGGTGAATGAAACAAACGTGTAACAGAAATAATTATAAAGCAAATACTATGGATCACCAGTCTGGCCACGGTGCCCTGCCAGCACCCAGGTGGCCCCTGTCACCTTGGGTCACAGCCCTCCCTCGACCTCAGAAGTGATCAAGCTTCTGGCTTTTTACGTGGATAACTTCCTTGCTTTTCTTCATTGTCTTGACACTCATGTATGTGTCTGTGAACACTATGCTTCACTGCTTAGAAAGCACTTCATTCTGGTGTGACTTCTATGCAAGAAATTAGCCACGGGGTGCACTCACAGCGCTGACAAATGGAGGCACGCAGGGCACTGCCACCTCCGCCCAAACAGCTGCCCTGGCCCCGTGAGAACAGCGCTGCTCCCACCGAGCAGTGTCCAGGGGACGGAGAGGGCGCTGCGTGTGTCCCCGCCTGCTGTGGACATCCGATGGCCCCCGGTAAAGCCTGGGGGAAGGCGTGGGGCGGGGGTCTCGTCTCACTTCGCAGGCAGACTCGGGGGGCACAGCTGCTGGAGCGATGGCAGGCATGTTGACAACGCCCTTGAGTTCTGCCTGATTTCAGCTTTATATAAATAGGATATTAAATAGGGTATTACCCGAGCCTTCGGTTTCACTTTTAAGATGCCTCACAACGGGCAGCTCTAGCGTGTTCCTCTGTGAGGCTATCGTACCACAGTGTTTCCACCCAACACGCTTGCAAGACATGGGGAAGTTCCACAAAACCCTTCTTGCCTTCCGAACCTCCACATACATTTTGGGAAACTCGATAGCTTTATATTAACCCTTCCCTTCCTGATCACAGGACGCCTGTGACTTGGGTGTGAGCGCTCAGTCAAGTTTTGCAGGCTGCTGCGCCCAAGTCTTGGGCAACTTCAGGCTCATGCCCAGGCTGCGTCATTTAGCACCGCAGCACACGCCGCCCTTGTTTCGAGGGGATCTGCTGGCCCTGCCGGTGAGCAGAAGAGTGACTCCTGCGCGTCGACCCCACGGCCACTGTCCTGCGTGTCCGCGAGCTTCCTGTGCGGACAATCAGATCTCCGCTAAGGTGAGGTTTTACTTCCTCCTCCCACCCCTCCAGCCTTTCACTTCCCGTTGCGCTGCACCGGCTGGGAACCACCACGGAGGCCACACAGAAGTGGTAATGCAGAGGCTGGTTTGGCTTGCGCTGCTTTCCCATTTTGGAAAATGTTTCATGTCAATTTCCTCTCTCCCCTGGTAAATCCCTTTTTCAGATTAAGGACATTTTCTTCTCTTGCTAGTTTACTGTTTTTTTTTTTTAAATTATAAACAGGTACTAAGGTTTTATCAGATGTGTTTTCTGATCCCACTGAACTGATCCTATGGCTCTTCTTTAATAAATTAATGTAACAAACAGCATCTCTGGTCCTCCTAGCTTTAACGTCCCCGCATTCACACCTGGGATAACAGTTTGGTCACATATTACCTTTTAAAATACACTGTTGGGTTTAAAATGTGTATTCTTGATGGCTTTTATATCTAAATTTCATGAGGGAAATAAACCTGTAACTTTTCATTTTTTACAGCAGATTTTGCTTACAGAGCTTCACTCCCCACGAGATGACGGAAGCAGCAGCTCATGCTCCCTGCCTCTGGTTTCGATGCCTTGGTAGGATCTGTACTAAACCGGACAATCTGCTGTTTGAAATCTCGGGGAATTCTCTGTAAAACAGTCCGAATGTAGCTTTCCATTGGAGAAACTTGTGGCTCCTGCTTTAATTTCTGTAACAGTTATTCGATCATGCACACTCATTTTTATTACATTGATTCTGCATCCTCGTTAAGTTTTAACAGCGTTGTGGAGTCTCGCTCTCTACAGTGCCTGCAGCCACGCCCTCCTCACGTCTACGTCGCAGAATTACAGGAACCCCGCGCCAGGGAAAAAGCCACGCGCCTGGGGCAGAGCGCAGCACGAAGAACATGGCCACCGGCCAGGCCTGCTCTCGCTCAGCCTCCTGCTGCTTCTTCCGCCTGATGACAGTGCCTTTGTGTCTGTTTTCCTATTTTTCTTTACCGTCCCTCAAAGGCTTATTTACTTAATTTTACCAAAGATAAAATATCTGCTTTGTTGACCTCTTTGTCTTCTATTTTATAATTTCCCGTATGTATTACCTCTTTTGTTTGAGTTTACTGTTGCTCTTTTCCTAATTTCTCAAGTGAAATCCTCAATTCTAAATTTTCAGGTTTTAAAAAACTTAACTCCAGCATTTGAGGCTTTACTGGAAAAGCTCTCAAGAGCAAACTTTTTCTGCATTCTACAGGTTTTCATATGTGATGTGTTATCTTTTAGTTCTGCATGTTTTAAAGTCTATTGCAGTTTCTTACTTGACCCAGGAGTTACTTAAAATCATACATTCTTAGATTTCCAAACACTCAGGGATTTGAAAGTTTACTTATTGTAAACCTGCACCTTGAATGTGGACAGAAGTACAAACCACATATCCTCGTCCTTAGAGTCTTACCCTCTGTGGAACTGCCCAGGGCCCGCCTCTGTGGGCGGCCACTGCCCACGTCCATCGGCCTGAGCCTGCTGGCCAAGCCCGGCGGCCTTCCTCACCTCTGCGGGGGCCCAGGCTGCGCGAGTGGCCGGTCACGAGGGAAACAGTCCGCACTCCCGGCCAGGAAGGTGAATGTTTGATTCCCTGTGCAGCCCAAACAATTTCGCTTTTTTATTTTACAGCTATTTCATCAAATACTTACATTTAAAGTTTCTATTTCTTCCTAACAAACTGAAACTCGTATCATTACACAGGGCCCCCTCCTCCGTCCCTGTGCTAAACGACATCGTGATCGACAACAGTGTAACTGCAACAGCCGCCTTCTTATTCCCGCCTGTCCTCATGTTTTGGGGCTCTTCTTGTAAACAGTGTGCGTGTGTATATTGTGGGCGGGTGCACACACACAGATATCGGTAGCTCCCAATCTTTTTGGCAACAGGGACTGGTTTCACGGAAGACAATTCTTCCACATATCACGGTGGGGATGGGGAGACAGGAGGCAGAGCTGAGATGGTAACGCAAGCAGCGCCCACGGACTGGGAGGAGGGGGGCTGGGGAGGGAGCGTGTCTCCCTCTCTCTCTCTCCCCCCGCCACACACACATATTCAAACACTTCAAGATAATCTGACACACTTTATTTTTGTCTACTTCCTGTATGTCATGGTTACTGTTGTAACTGGACTTGTGTTTATCATCTTTTAAATTTCTGCCTATATACTTTCGCTACATTTTTTTCTTTGTAAATTTTGATTTTTTCCTTCTAATTAGCAATATATAAAACCCGTTTCTATTCTTTTGTTTGCTCTTGAAATTGCGTCAAGCCCACTGGGTTGAAAATCTGAACGTCACACCCTGCCAGCTGCACTGGAAGGGCGCGAGGCCCTGCAGACACTCCGCTCGGCCCCGCGGCTGGGGTGCGCCGTGGCTGCGCAGCGCCGTGGTGCTTCCGCGCACGGTGCCGGTTCGATGCCGTCACACGGAGTGCAAGTCTGCACCCGCCTACACTTTCCAGGCCGCTTCTCGCCCCTCCCTGCACCTCTAGCTGAGCTGAGATCGATCTCCTTTACGAGAGTGACCGCGCACACTCCCTTCCACGCAGGCCTCCCTGCAGCAAGCCCCTTCGGTGTCCCTGTCAGGGAAAGGCCGGTTCTGAAGGTCGGGGGCACAGACTCGCAGACCCGTGGCCTTCTGCTTTCACAGGCTATGATAGGAATGGATTTTGTTTTCCTACTGGTATATACCATGCTTTTGAATTTGTAGATTCATATTTCTCAGTAGTTCTGCAGAATCTCCAGGCGCCATGTCTCTTTACTCCTTTCCTGTGGTCTCTCCCTTTTCTCTCCAGTGAAATGACAGACTTAACCTCTCCCCCATCTCTCTTAAGCCCTTGCTCATATTTTCCATTTTTCTTATATCTTGGAGTATTTCAGGTATGTTTTCGGACCTATCTTCCAGGTCACTAACCTCCCCTTTCGCAGTGTCTAAACCATCATCGATCTCCTTAGGTCTGAATTTTGATAAATATATTTTTCATTTCTAGGTATTTCATTGTTTCCCCCAAGTCTTGGGTGTTTGATATTCCTTGTATATGAGGTCATGCATGATTCAAATTCCAAAGCTCTGTTTATATCCAAGAAATACTCCCATCACTTTCTCCTCAGAATCCAGGACAAGTTATCTTAATAATTTAAGAAATTTACCTATAGATGCTTTTGTACTTTGCACAAATTGGCACCATTTGAGAATGATAATTCCATGTCTTCCTCCCTTGCGTTTCTATTTACCCTTTTACACGCAGAAGTTGTGATGTGGGCATCGTTCTCGTTTTTTAATCTCAAGGGATATCTTTACTGTCTCACCACTGAATATGACACTTACTGTATATTACTGATACCTTTTATTATGTTAAGAATACACCCTTCAAGTCTTAGGAGGTATTATTATGAATGGATGTTTAACTGAAGCCAATACTTGGCTGCATCTGTTGAGATAAAAATATGCACACACAGCCCTGAATGGGGTGGCCCAGTGGACTGAGCACCGGCCTGCAAACCAAAGGGTCGCCAGTTTGATTCCCAGGCAGGGCACAGGCCTGGGTTGTGGGCCAGGTCCCCAGTAGGGGGCGCATGAGAGGCAACCACATAGTGATGTTTCTCTCCCTCTGTCTCCCTCCTTTCCCCTCTCTAAAAAAAAAAACAACAACCTTAAATTAAAAAAAAATATGCACGAACACAGAAATTATATAATAAACACAGTTTCCTGAAATAGATCCACAGCTTTCAGAGAGAGTTAGCGACCTTCTGCACTGCAAGTGACCTGCTTCTTTCCTGCCTGTCATCGGAAACACAGGTGAAGGTGCTTCCAAAGGAAGAACAGGAGTTTAAAATGAACATTTCTTTGCCATAACTCACGGAATAGACAAAACACCTCTGAAGGCAGCACGGCTCCCCTTCCCAGCGCGCCGTGTCCGTGCGCCCGCCGCCAGCACACGTCAGGGTCCCCTGGGGGGCTCTGGGTCCCCAGGCTACGCTGTGGGGCCAGGACCACTCAGAGGGCCACTGCCGCCTGCCAGTCCTTGCACGCGTGGGAGAGGGAAGGAGGGCGTGAGAGCGGGAGCAGGGAGGTCTGCGTGTGCGTGCGGCGCGGGCGGGATGCACGCGTGGGGCTGTCTGATGGCCGAACTGCTGCCCAGGACGCCTGCTGGGGCCGCGGAGGGGCCTTGCCTGTGGGAGCCCGGCGGCCACTGCGCTCCAGGCGCAGCGCTTCCCTAGCGTTTACCTTTTGAAATGCTCCACCTCCCGCTCTGTCTCATCCATGTCCACACTGTCTAGGTCGATGTCCTTAGGCAGAAAGACATCATCTGCAGAATTGAAAGAAAGAGGCGAGTCAAACGGCGAGGACAGGCCAGTTCACCCAGAGAGCTCTGATTTTACTTAACTTCAACAACTTCAACAACCGAAACTCACGGGCATCCCGCTGCCGAGTGACCCGTCAGTACAGGGCGGGTCTCCGTGACGGGAGAGGCCTGCGGTGGTTCCCGAAACCTACACAGCGTGCCAGCTGAGGGGCCGCCCCCATCCTTGCTGGGAGGAGGGAGGCGGCAGGGCACAGCTGTCCGCAGCAGCTGCCAGAAGGCCGACCCCATGGGGCGGACAGTGCTGTCCCTTCCAATGCCCCCCCAGTCAGAGGACACAATCGCCACAGGACCCAGACAGGGATGTCTACAGGTGGCCGACTCCCCGGCAGCCGACCCGCACATGCAGCATCTCAGAGGTGCCGCCACGGACTCTCCAGGCTGCTCCAGCCAGACACCAGGCTCTCCCTCTTCGCTCTGCAGCGACGCTGGCTCTGGAGGGCCACCAGCCTGAGCCTCGTGTGCTGCCCACGCGCCGCAACGCCGAGCAGAGCGCCTGGTGAGGGCGAGGCGCCATCCCCTGCAGCCTCCGCGTGGGAGCCTCAGTCGGGGTCTTTACTAAACGCAAACCCCTTTCTCGCTACCTCTGGGGTGTCGCCACAGTGCTACCCCAAGGTAGCATCGCCAAGGCACAGTGTATGTGCACAAGAGCAGCTAATGCTTTCGGGGACACCCGGCACCAGGAGCAGGGCCTCCACGCCTGTGCGCTTCTCCGAGGTCTGGCACGACCACTAGACCACAGCCGCTCACGCGAGACAACATCCCCACTTTCCGCTGGGTCCCTGTCCTTTCAACCGCACCTGGATACCATGCCACCAAACCTCCACCCCTGCCTGGGGCCTCCTGCCTGAGCTCCGCCCTCAAGGGAGGAGCTGCCTCCTCCTGATGTCCACCCTCAAGCATCTTGACCCCCCAACACAGGCAGACTGGCCCCTCCTGCCCTGCTGCAAGCCTGCCCCTCCCTGACAGCGACCTGGAAGCGATGCTCCCCACCGCCCTTCCTCGCGCTCACGGCATCCCTTCAGCCCTGCCGGCAAGTCCTTCAGGACCCCCCAACCCCACGGCCACTGCTTCGGTGCTGGCCCCCACCTCCCAGCAGGCTCCTGGGTCCGAGCTCCCACCAGACGTGGCCTGCACGCGGGTCCTCACAACCCCTCGCCAACGTGCTTCGCAGCTGCCCTGCCTCTGCGGCCCATCCCCCCTCGGCACCCTGAGGTTGCTGCTGGGGCCCCCCAGAAGCTCTGGTGCTCGCGGGGGTGGGGGCAGAGTGTGGGGGGCGGCAGCCGCACACGAGGGCTTGTGGAGGTGAAGAGCACCCCCACAGCACACCTCCGGTCGCTGCGATGGGTCTATAGAGGGGCTTCCCCTGCGAAGCCAACGCGGGCGGGCGGGCAGCTCCGCAGAGGCACTGGGACAGCTCGGTGCTCTCCAACGCCCCTCTTTTCCAATTAGAACGGATAGTCGGTATCAAGTGCTAATGTAAGGAGAAAAACGAGGAGGTACTATAACCAGATTCGGGTCAGGAAAAGAGTTTTCAGAACAATAAAGCTGTGCTGACCGAGTGGAAAGAAGGTGGGACCAGCCGACCTCACACCCTGCTCGCAGTCCAGGCCGTGGGCATGGCCACCCCGGCCCGAGCACAGGCATGGGAAGCTGGGCGGCGCCCCACCGCGGGGCCCGCTGCAGGCCCAAGCGAGCAAGTTCCGACAGGGCGGGGCCGACGCCGACCACAGGGACGGCAGCGACACGGGAGGCCCAGCGGACCCACCCCCAGCTGCTGCGGCACCCACGAGAGGCTATGTGAGGGGAGGGCGGGGAAACCAGCGTGGGCGGGCAGGGGACACGACACCAGATACCAAAGGGTTTTAGAAACGGAAGAGCAAACACTTCACAGAGAAAAAGAGCACATGTCGGCCCCAGGCCCCGGGAGCTTCCCTGTGCGGGTAACCAGCTGGCGCAGCCGCCGCCAGAAACGCCGTGCGAGCCACACAGGCTTCCCAGGGGCTGTGCCGGGAGATGTGACAGATGGACTTTACCTCATTAAATATCCGACCCCCAAATTATTATTTCCACACGTCATCAGCTCGAACAGTGACATGAAGGTATTTTGCATCCCCTTCTCGGACTCGGTGCCCGCAGCCCAGCGTGTGAGTCACACTCACGCCCCCCGCCGGACGGGCCGCTCCAGGTGCTGGGCAGGGGCTGGAGGCTGCTGTGCCGGACAGCGGTGCCGCGGGAGCCACGCGGAAGAGAGTGCTCGTCACAAGTGAAAACGAGGAGGGTCAAATGCTTTGAAATGAGCTCAATAACAAAACTGAAAAAACCTATGAGAAAAAATTAAAAATATCCCTAGAAGTGTATCTGCATAAAAGCGGCCTTGAACAAACGAAAGAATACCTCCTGTCCTTAGGAGGGATGGTCACCACCGTGAAGACACCCATCAATTCATGAATTCAAAGCCACCCCAGTACCAGCGCCAACAAGCCTTTGCTAGGGAGCGAGGCACGTCGATCCTGAAGTCACGTGGAGACACGAACACGGGAGAGCAGCCGGGAACACACTAAAAACAAGATCTATGAGGCGGCGACAGCCCTGGGGTCACGGACACACACGGAGCCTCTACAGCATGAACTCCGCACGGCGGCGGCGTGAGACCAGACAGCAGGGAAGCAGCCGCTCTGGAGCGAAGCCACGGGTCAGCATACGCACGCTGGCCCGTACCCCTGGCCGAGACAGGCCGAGGCCCCAGGCAGGAGAAACGGGCGCCGTTCTGGAAATGGGCTGTCACCCCCCATCCCCTCTTGGGAGCGGCTTGCTGTCCTGTGGCTTCCTTTGACCTCCTCCTGCGGGCGCACGCGGAGATACCGCAGTGACAGCCCCGTGCAGGCCCCACGCCGCCTCTGTCCAGGAGCCTCACGCGAGCCTCCGAGGCGCCGGCACATTCCCTGTGACACGAGTCACAGAGGGCAGGTCCACACGGGTGGGTCCCAGCGTGACTTCTGTCAAGGGGGGGAGCAGCTCCCCAGGTTGGGACTCCTGCACCGCACCCGCTACACGCGCTTCCGTGAGCACAGTGGCACCGAGTCCCTAAGGCAGGAGGTGCTTTCTAATGACGGTGCAGGGACAAGGAGTAACAAGATTGGACCCGTGTCTCTCGTGACACTTGAGAGTAAATTCCAAAGGCATCAGGGACTTGAAGGGGAAAGCTTTCTCACAACTACTGAAGAGCCAGAGGCAACAAGAGATCCACTGAACAAAAGTAAAACCACTGCCAGCCTCGCACGCACAGCACCAGCTCAGCGCAAAGACCACCTGTGACTGGGGGCCCACACTCGCACTGCAGCTCAAGGCTTCTGAAACGGAGGAAAAAGAAAAGACGACAAAAAGAAGGAAAAATTCACACATGAAGAAATACACTCCTTAAAAGCATGACCTCACTGTAGTTAGAAAAACACGTAAATGAAAACCACACCGTGGCTGGGTCTCACCTGACAGACTGGTGCGAATCACAAGGCCTGAGGGGAGGCAGGCACAGGGGCCCCGGGAGGGGTGCAGAGGCTGGGGCCCTGAAGGAGCACTGCTCCCGCTCCCCGGAACCGCTCCGAAGGAACCCCCCACAACAGGAGACGCACGCACAAGCGTGGCCGGCAGCACTGCTCGGGGGCACGGAGAGGTGAGCAGGCCCGATCTCCTTCTCAGCCTTGCCTCAGGGCATTTTTTCATCGTTTTCCGGGAGTAAGGAAATGGGGGGCCCTGGCTGCGGTGGTGCAGTCGCCTGTTCGATCCCCAGGCAGCGCACAGGCCTGGGTCGCGGGCCAGGTCCCCAGTGGGGGGTGTGTGAGAGGCAACCACACATGGATGCTTCTCTTTCTCTTTCTCCCTCCCTTCTCCTCTCTCTAAAAGTAAAAACATAAACAACAAAAAAATAAACAGAGGGACAGGAGGAAGGGGAGGAAGAGAGAGACAGAGACACAGAGTGGGAGACAGACGTCAGTTGGCTGTCTTCTAACACGCGCCCTGGCCGCAGGGTGAACCTGCAACCTGGGCCTGTGCCCTGCCTGGGAGCCGAACCGTGACTTTTCTATGGGCATCATTCCAACTAAATGTACCACACTGGCCAGGGCGACCCGTCCGTTTCAGATGGAGCGCCGTCCCCTGAAAAACCAAGGAGAATCAGCTCTGCGAACCGACCCCAAGTGATTTCCAGAACACAGTTTGTGGGGGGGGCACAGGGAAAAGGGACACCCCAGCGTGCTACCTCCGGGGCAGAAAGGGAAAGCAAGGGCGCCACTGCACAGTGAGCGGGTGGGGACCGGCTGGAGGGAACAGGGGGAGGGAGAGAAACACACAAAAAACGAACAGGAAAAGAAGGGCCTCCGCGCTGCGGCGCGTGCCGTCTCTGCCCGTGGGCACCGGGAGTGCCTGCTGTGTCCTCGCACTGCTGCCCGTCGCGGACCCGCAGGCTGCTGACTCAGCTGCAGTCACACCCCGGGGGCCACCCGCTGTGTGCGCGGGGCCTGCCAGCACGCACGGGGACAAGGGTCTGCGGAGGTGCCCCGCACTGTCGGTGTGAGCTCGGGCCTCTCTCCACGGGAACACGGCACAGACGTGCACGCACGCGCACACACCCCCCGTCGCCCCGCGCAGGCGCCTGCGCTGCCGTGAGCATGGCCCCAGCGGGTGCACCCAGGCCCGCTCTCCCAGGGCCCCGCTCCACTGAAACGGCCGGTGGCAGCGCCAGGGGACAATGGCCACCGCGGGGCTGGGAAGGGGACGGTGCAGACGGAGTCCGGGACACCTGGCTGTGCCAGGAAGTAGGGAAGTGCTCCAGGAACAAGGTTGAAAACCAGGCCAGGGGGCCAGGGACAGAGTGTGGGCCTGTCGGGCGGCCCAAGTGACCGGGGCTCGCCCAGGGGCATAGTGTGCAGCGCAGGGCAACAGCCCACGGGCCCCCTGCCCACGAAATAACCCCCGAGGAAAAAACCACCGCGGGGGGCACGGCGCCTCCTGCAAAAGGCCGGGTCACACGCGCAGCAGGAGTGACAGTGGAACGACCACCGCTGGCAAACGGTGTGGTACTAGCCATTTCGAGCAAGAACCATCAATGGGAGCCCGAACTACAGGTGAACAATAAAAAAAAAAGAGTTTTGTTTCCCCACGGGACACACAGGGGTTAACCGGACGGCGGGGGGGGACCAGGCCGCCACCACGCCAGCCGCAGGGCCGGCCGACAGCGGCGGGGGCCGTGCCCGATGGCACGCGTGGACAGGGGCCCAGACTCCCTCGGCACCGGCGCCACCCGCGCCCCTGAGCCTGGCTGTGAACCAGCAGCACGCGGCCAAATGCACGGCACCCCCGGGCAACCCTGCGCCGTGCTGATTCCTAGATTCGGAAACCCGTGCGGTGCTCCTGTGAGAAGAGCCGTGTCCTCAGGAAGCACACGGCGGCGCCGCAGGGTGATGGGGCATCGTGGCAGCAAGCGCGCTCGTGCGGTTCAGAACAGCAACAGCGGAACGCAGCCGCCCAGTGGCAGTGTGCCGGTTTGGGGAACTGGAGTGTGTGGGAGCTCCATGTGCTCCTTTTGCAGTTTTTAAAATCTAAAATTATTTCAAAATAACATCGGACAACAATGGCTGCCTGGTCCCTTGTGGTGGCGAGGGGCAGCCCCCGACCTGCAGGCGGGACAGGCTGAGCGGGACACGGCCAGCACCCCTCGACTCACCACCGAATCCCAGGCCCGCGCCACGCAGGCTCCCGCCCGCCCCGCATTTACCGAGAGAGCTGCTGCCTCGGTCTCCCTTCTTCTTCCGGCTCTTCTTGCTCTTGCCCCTGGGCTGAGGGGAGTCGGCCAGCACCAGCTTGCTGCTGTGCGGGTGCTCACCAGGGCAGGCGGGCTCTGGGGGGCCGGGACTCGCCTTCCCCTCCTTGACATGGTTCAGCTGCTTCTTGTTGTTGTTGTTGCTGTTGGCTTTCCTCTCCTCTCTCTTCTGCTCCGCCAGGGAGGCGAGGTCAAGCACTTTAGCCTTTGGCTCAGTCTGGGGCCGGGGTCTGGGCTGACCCTCAGAGGGCCTGGGGGGCTCTGCAGGCCTCCTGCCCAGCTCGCTGCCGGCCTTCCCAGCCTGTTTCGGCTTCTGTTTGCCAGTCCCCTCCTTGTGGGGGTGCATTATGTCCAGGAGAAAGGACAGCGGCTCCTGCTGCTTCCCACTGACCCCCTCAGGCAGGAGGAGCTTGGAGTCCCTGGCGTCCCCGGGGTCCGCTGTGTCCCTGTCTGTCCCCGGCCCGGGCTCCATGTGGCCGGCGTGTCTGGACGGGGAGTGCGGTGAGGTTTCTGGTTCTTCAGTTGGCTCCAGGGAGCCGTTGTGCATGTGTGCAGAGTCGGGCGCAGGCTCTGCTTCTGTGGGCACGGCCCCAGCAAGTGCGCCCACCTTGGGGCAGTCTCTAGGCGGCCTCTCCTTCTTCTTCTTCTTCACAGCGCGGAGCTTCTGGAGCTCCTGCAGCCGTTGGAGCTCCGCCGTGAGCCGCGCGTCCTCCCCCGGCTCCTGCCGCGGCTCCTCACGGGTGTGCACGTGCTCCCGGGCCCGGGCCTCCGCCTCGAGGCGCGCTTTCTCCTCCAGCTGCGGGTGAGAAGAAGGGCGGCTGAGACAACAGGAAGTTTTCTAAACACGAATGCATACGAAAACAGAAGGCTTTTTAAAATGGGTCAGAAGGTGAGAACATCAACCCTGAAAGTGGTTATAATAAGCCAAAAGCCCTTGTTAAAACATACGTGTCCGGAGGTACTGTACCTATACACTTACTTTACTTGGGGGAGGGGATAGTTAAAAAAATTCCTCACAGACATCGCCCTAGTGCCAGGCACGTAAAACAAGGCGGGAGCACCTGCCCCGCTCCCCCGCCCCGTTTGTGGGGGAGACAGAGCCGGTGGCAGAGAGACCCAGGTGCAGGCCGAGGCATTTCTGCCAGGACAGGCAGAAACGCGTACTGGAGAACGTAACCTCCCCTCAACCATCCTGGCAGACGAACGAGACTCGCCACCTATTCTCACTAGATTGTCTTCAATGGTGCAGGGCAGACACAGGATTAGCTCTGCTGTGTGGCGTGGCAGGACATGGGCTTCCTTTAGGGAGACCTAGCCCAGGGGTATGAGTGGAAACTGTTCCTTCTGTTTAGAAAACAAACGACAGGCCCCGAGAGCAGGGACCTGGCCCTCCTGTCACTGATCCGGCTAGGCTGGTGCAGGGAATGACCTCTGGCAGAAACAACTTGCACAGGAAAATTTAAAGGCCTATCCAAAGTAAAACTGTTTTTTACAGTATTTCAGTAGGCATTATTTGTAAGACACCACTTAGCTGATTTCTTGAAAAAATTAAATATAAAGCCACGCTAAATATTTAATGACAGGCTCTGAGGAACTAATCTCGCGATCCCCGAGCGAGCTATCAGCAGCCCGTGTGCAGCTGTTACAGAGCAGCCTCCCGGGCTGTGGCCCGGGCGCCCGGTGCCGCGCTGGCAGCCAGCCCCTGCGGTGCAGGGCGGCCCCCGCGGCGGACTCGCACTCGGGTGTGCTGCCTTCCCATCACCAGCCAGCCTGTTGCTGGGATGCAAAGCCAGAGCACAGGGCGCTCCGGGAGACGGGGCGCTGGGCGGAGCGCGGTGTGCGAGTGGATGCTGAGAGCGATCCCAGTGAGCCCGAGGGGCTGTGGCATCGAGTCTGGACCAGGCTGGTTCGCCAGGACAGAGGCTGGGAGACCAGGGTAGTCTCTGAGAAGCACCTGAGCCAACCCAGGGGCTTCTAATGACTCCTCAGGGACGTCTCCAGGGCTGGAGACCGCCCTGGGGCCCCCGACGCTGTGACGCTTCTGGATGGTAAGCGCACCTCCTTCTCCCGGCTCTCCGGGGGCAGAAGAGGCCTCCCCCGAAGTCCCTGGTCCATCCTGAGAGGCAGGGCAGACCGAGTTCAGGACTGAGGCACAAGCAGGGTCACACCGCTGAGCGGAACAAGCACACCGCGCTGAGAACCATCCCCTGCCGGGTGTCGGCCGAGCCGCGGGACCGGGGGTGGCGGGTGGGGGGCTGTCCTCCCAGCCATCCCCAGGCCGCCCTGCCAGCGGTCGGAGCCTGCAGTGTTCCAGCGCCCGGTCAGCCCAGACCGACCTGCTGAGGGCTGGCTCTGCGTTCTCTGCTCGCCCACTGGGCTTCGGGCCTGGTCCAGCCACAGCCCGCCCCAGCCCTGTGCAGAGGTGGGAGCTGCCCAGGGCTGCCCAGAATGCCCCTCCCCTCCCTCTGCTACCCACGCTTTCGAGGCCATGTGCGGGCCCTCGTCTGCCCTGAGCTGCGGGATGAGCCAGGAGCTCGGGCCACTGCCGCGCCAAAGCCGCCCCAGCCTCCTGTTGGAGTCGCTCCACCACAGTCTCCCAAGCCCACTGCCACCTCTACTTCCTCTGCTTCTCCAGGCACAGAGGCGGAGGCTCCGCTCCACACCCCACGCTGGCCAGCACAAGCGCCTGAAGGCCTGTGCAGCCACACTGGCGTCATGGGCAAGTTTGGGGGCTCCCCGCCACAAAGATGCACAGACAGGCGCAGGCACAGACAGGGTTACCTTTCTCTGCTTGTGCCTCGCCCGCTTGGCCGCGCGCGAGCTGCTCACGGGCTTGGTCTCGGAGCTGTTGATGAAGCGCAGCAGGTCCTCCACCCTGCGGTGGTCCACCACGCTCTCGCGCTCTGACAGCTGGTCCGCCTTCTTCGGCTGCTCCTCCTTCCTCTTGGTCAGCCGCAGGCGAAGCTTCTCCCTCATTTCTGCATAATTTCTACTTGTTGGTGCAGCTGGGGGCTAAGATGATTAAGAGAACATGATTAAATTAAACTTCCAGTTCTAATGACATTGAACATAAACTTCAAACTATTCCTAAAAAATGAAGGTTTCTTATTACTCAAATAATACATGCTCACCGTGAAAAATAAGGAAATAAGAGAAACAAGTTGCAAGAAAAGAAGAAATTTATACCTTCGTGAAGGATCTGGTGACGTATATACAATTAAGTACAAAAATAAATGTCACATTTTAAATATTTTATTTGTTTATTTTTAGAGAGGGGAAGGGAGGGAGAAAGAGGAACACCAATGTGGGGCTGCCTCTCGAGCGCCCCCTCCTGGGGACCTGGCCTGCAACCCAGGCCTATGCCCTGACTGGGAATCAAAGGGACCCTTAGGTTTGCTGGCCGGCACTCAATCCACTGAGCCACACCAGCCGGGGACAAAAATAAATGTTTTTAAATCAAAGAAGTAATTACACATATTGATTAATCTACTTTTAATGTAATACAGTTTGGTTATCTCTTCCTGTCAGTAAGCAAGTCCATGTATCTTCTTACCCATTTGCAAAGAAAACAATCGCCCCAAACCCCCGCCGGAACTGCCGCGCGCCCACCGCACACAGGCGCACTGCGCAGGGGACACAGAGCAGGGCTGGCAGAGGGACAGCCAACTTTTCCTGCGGCCACCCTGGCACCAGGGCGGGCACTTCCTCGTGAGACCACAGACGGTTCTGCAAGACGCCTGTGCACCTCTGTGCATCAGTGTCCTTTGTGTGCAAGGGAGGGGAGGCCACCGCGCACACCGCCTCGTGTCCGCGTGTGGCTGCTGCCTGCCTGGCCTCCCCCGCTGCCCCCAGCTGGGCAGCCGAGCAGCCAGCCCCTGCCCCATCAGCTACTTTAAAACTCGTACACACACAACAATGCTGCATTGAACCCTTATAACTAAATCTGTGAGCAAGTTTTTTCATTACACGCCCAGGGTAAGGGCAACCCAGGAGTGGAATCGCCGTTTCAAACCAGACCTTGACCTGAACTAAGCTGCCAGGCTCCACACAACAAACCAGACCCCGGGCCGCCCGGCCCCCGCTGCCACCCACGCCCGCGCACTCACCCCGCCGTGCCCGAAGAATTCACAGTAGCAGCAGTCGCAGTACTTGCCCTCCTTCTGGGTGGTGGAGGTGGAGGTGCTGGAGCTGTGCTCGGAGCAGCTGTCCTCATCGGCGCTCTCGTCGCCCTCGTCCTGCTGCGGGTCGTAGACGCCGTTCTCGCAGCGGTGCCCTTCGCAGTCGGGGTCGCTGCGAAACCGCACACAGGCCTGTCAGCAGGCGGCGCGCCTCGCGGGGCCCCGCCCCTCACGGACACAGGGGCCCGGGCAGGGGAAGGCGGGGTGGCGACTGGGCGAGGGGGCACGTGCAGCGGGCGGCCACACCGAGACGGCGTGTCGGGCACACACCCCCTCCCCACGGCGCCTCACGACCATCTCATCCTGGGGTGGGGGTACGGCTTCAGCCCGGCAAGTTCAAAGAGAACAAAAACTGTCTTAAAAAAACTGGCCACTGGTGGCTGTATCATTGTACTTGGCTTAGTGGCAACAAATACAACTGAAAAACCACCCAGGGCCCAGCCCCTGATGCTGTCCACGGTTGGGTGGGGTCCACACACCGGTCCACGCGGCCCTGGCCCCCCTAACCCGTGGCCTCCGCCAGGCGTCCCTCCCCCTCGCCCACGGGCTGCGAGGCTGCAGGGCTCCGCGAGCGGCGCCCCGTCCCCCAGCTGCCCTGCCGTCGCCTCCGGGCCTGGGGCTCACCTGCAGACGCTCGGAGGTGCGCTGACGGAGCCGTCTGTGGCGGGGGGCGGGGGTGCCACCGAAGCAGGACAGAAGCTCTTGCGTGAATCCACAAACCCAGGGGACGCGGCCGCGGTTTTGGGGAAGGTGGGGGCTGCGAGATTCGCCAGGTGAGGCGGGGAGGCTGGAGAGAGGGCGGCGGGGGCGAGCGCGGGGAGCGGCGCCAGGCTTGTGGGGCTGCTCCTCGGGGCGGCCGGCCCCGCACGCCTGTGCTCCTCTTTGCTGACGCCGTGGAAGACCTCGCCTGCGCCGGGGACAAAGCCATGCCAACAGCTGAGTCACACACGCGTTCACGTCCCTCTTAGTTAAGACTTTTCACCTACCCTTCGCCTGGACTCATCACCAGTTAATGTTCTGCCCCGCTTCCTTTGTTATACACACACACGCTCTCCCTCCCTCTCTCTCCCTCTCTCTCTCACACACACACACACACACACACACACACACACACACACTCTCTCTCTCTCTCTCTCTCTCCACCCCCCCCCCGACCCCCAAACGCTTCCTGCAGGAGCCCCTGAGAGCAGGCAGCCCTGCTCAGCGTCCCGCGTCCCCCCCGCAGGCCCTGGCAGCTCTCCCCCGGCCCAGCCTCTGCGCTCTCCCTCCTTTCACAGTGCTGGCGGCCCTCGAGTAGAGCCGGCCGTCCACCAACCCGGACATCCGGGCGCGTGAGGCTGTGTCCCAGTGCTTCGGGCACGAGTCCCCAGGGGCACCTACTGTCAGTGCTGCGGTGCTGAGGTGACGTGTGCCGGGGGCTCGGGGGCGGCCTGCCCATCCCCTGTGGGTGCTGCTCCCAGACAGCGGGGACCTGCGTTCCCCGCTCTGACAGCCAAGGCTCTCGGCGCACGCCAAGGCGCACACCTGGGCGGCCACCGCCCGGCGGGCTCAGGGCGGCTCCCTGCTCCTGAACTCACATGGCGAGGGCAAGCTCCTCCTCTTCCGTCAAGAGGCTGCCCCACCTCCCGCCACGTAGCTGGAACCCGATTTCAGTTGTGTGCTATGAGCCGCTCCATTTCTCTGCGCCGCACGGCCCCACGAGCCAGCTCCCGCGTCCCCTGACATCAACCACTGGCCAACAGCATCCACGCCGTCAGGCTCTCGGCCCTGGGCTCACAGGTGTGAGTCTGGCGGCCACACCACCTGCACACTTGCGACGCCCCACAGGCTCGCTCTCCCAGCCTCGCTTTCAGATGACTAACGACGTCTCCTCGTGCTCACAACAGCAGGTGCAGAGGTGAAAGGCAGGACCTATGTGGCCAAGCCCCAGCGGATGTTATGGGACAGTGGCATTCTCTTGGGCGTGGACACTGTGAATTATGACGCTGCCCCCCCCACCCCGGCCAGGCCACCGAAGGGTGATCGCAGAGGGCAGCGAGCACCAAGCCTGCCCAGGGCCCGCCGCCACGCCTCACCTATGGAAGGGGGCCTCCTGGACGACACTTTGAACTGGCTGTTGCTGGACTGCACTGTGGTGGCCGTGCAGGAGACGGAGGAGGTGGCTGACGAGGTGGCCATCACCACTTTATTTGCTTCCATGAAAGCATCTTGGAAGTTGTACAAGCATTTCTTTTTTGCGGCATTTTTTTTCTCTTTACAATCCAAAGCTGTAGGCGTCCCATTGCTCGGTGGCAGCGGGAGGGCGTCGGGTCTCGTTTCTGTGAGTGTTGGCCCGAGCATGTCACTCCCTTGAGAGAAGAACGGGAACGTTAGGCTTCTGACAGAAACGTTATTTAGGCTCAAACCTAAACGGTACCTGAAGGTGGACCTCTTAACACCGGGGCTGCTCTGCGTGAGGGTTCTACTGGGATGACGCTGCCCACTAGCGCTCCCGTAAGAGAAAAAATTTACTGAGCACCCACTACGTGCCAGTGCCTGTGCTAGGTGCTTTCCAGAAGTTACTCTACTTAATGTCTTAAAACTACTTTCTGAGCTTGGTACTACTATTCCCATCCTGAAGATGAAGAAACGCAGGCTCAGAGAGGCTAAGCAACTTGCCCAAGGTCACACAGCTAGAAACCCTGTCCAGGCACAGACCAGGTGTCCAGTGCAGCTTGCTGTCCTGACCACATGCAGGGGCTGGGGGCGGGGCCGCTGGGGGCTCTGGCCACGTGAGGACAGAGCAGGCTGAGGGACTGGCCCTCCTCAGGGGCCTGGCCGCTGCAGTAGCAGCCGCACCGCCGCAGCTGGGAGGGCAAGCCTGTTAGAGGGACACGTCCCACGGAAGGTCAGTGCAGAGGCAGAGGGAGGGAGGCCAGGCATGATGTGCCAGCTGCCTGTGGCCCTGCGGCACCGCCCCGGTGTGTGCTGGGTCGAGGTCTGGCTGTCGGCGCTGCTTGACAACCGCAGGCCTAACACTGCACCCCGGAGACGAAGACGCTCAGCAGCACTGGGGCAGCCCCGAGCCTGCCCGCCACAGGGCGCGGGACACGGAGGGGGTGGGGCGGCACGGCAGGCCCGGGGCCGCCCGCTGGAGGTGAGGCAGGGAAGCAGCAGCCTGGGCACAGCTGCACGGGGCCCGGCCCCTTGGGGCTTCCGCGGGAGACACAGCCACAGACGGCCGTCCGCTCCGCTTGGACAGTGAGAAACTTGAATAAAGTTTTAACAGGTTCCTTACCAGAAATTGTATCTGGCAAGAAAGTGCCAGGACTCCAGTTCTTATCATTCATCACTTCTGATCCCCAAAGACTTATAAACTTAGAACTATTCCACTCTGGAGTAGTCCCAAAACAGCTCGGGTAAATATGGTCTTGAAGAGATGCATTGAATACCTGATGCTTATTTGTGTGATTCTGAACAGGTGCTGGCGGTAAAGCCTACAAAAAAAAAGTTCTAATCACATATCAAAATTAATATTCTGTTTACCTACGTAGTTAAGCTACAGACAGACAAGCCATTCCTGGGAGCCCTGAGGGACGCGCTCGCCTGAGCGGTGCCCTGGCGGACACCTCGCGCAGTCACTCTCGACCCAGAGGGAGCCTGTGAAGCACCTGGTGCCCTGAGGACCGTATGGGACAAAGCTGACACTCGGCCAATTCTGATGCGAATTCTGATACGCTTCCCTAGTCACAGTTCAAAGGTGGTCATTTGCATAAGATCTCTTCCTCTGGCTTACCCTCACTCGACATCCTAATGATCGTTGCTAAAATGCCAACTTTGGAACCTTGGATAAAAAATGACAACACTCTTCAGCAGTGCCCTCACAGGGCACGGGGGCGGAGGGCAGAGGGCAGGGGAGAACGAGGCACTGCATGTTATTACTGGAAGCCCCCGGGCAAAGCCCCCGTCCAGGACGGGAGCTGGGCATCTCCCCGCCCCTCCCTGCCGCCCGGCCTCCACCCGCGCGGACGGGGCTCTTACCCGTGGCCTGGTCCTGCCCTGTCTGCGGGATGCCGAGCCCCTGCCCACACTGGCCTCCCCCTGGCCCTCAAACTCCTAGCCCTTCCCCAGCCCGGACCTCTCCCCGCACCGTGTGCACGTGCTCGTGCGTGCTGCCCAGCTCGCGGTCCTGCTGACTGGCGTTCACCCGGAGGCCCACATGTCTCTTCCTCAGGGAAGCCACCGCTGACTTTGCCCTCACCACCCCACACCCACACCCAGACATGGGCCTTCCATTAAACGCAATAAAGTCGCAGTTTTCCCTCTTGGCACTCATCACACTTGTAACTACCCACTGGTTCAATGTGTGCCCCCAAATCCTGTAAGCGTCACGAGGGGGCGGGCCGCAGGGGTCCGTGCCGACGCCCGGCCCACGGCCCTCCCTAGCAGGCCTGCGCCCCGGCACAGCCCCTGGGAAGCCACAGGCCTGGCACAGGGAGCCACCCTGGCCGCACTGCCCTTCGGGGCCCGCGCGCGCAGTGGGGGCTATGCACTCGTGCGGCAGGACTGTGGGAGGGGTACCAGGAGCAGGCCATGGTTGGGCAGAACTCTGGGGGCCTGGCTGAGGCACGGGTCAGGGAGAGGGAGGGGGACAGGGCACAGGGGCGGTCTAAGTCCGTGGACAACTGTCCTAGGCTGATGGGCTACAAGGGCCAAATGACAGAGGACTTCGTACGACTTCCGTCCTGAGGGCAGGGAGCTGCAGAGGGTGGTAGCGCAGGGCGAGGCGGCCTGGCCGGGGGAGCACGAAGGCCGACCTCGGGCAGGGCGGTGGATGAGCCACACGGCGGGAGGATGGCGCTGAGCGCAGTTCGGGGGTGAGGAATGGTGATGATGTGGAAGTCAGAGCTCTGGGGACAGGAGCCTGGCAGGACGCAGAGCAGGGACGACCGTCTCTGGCTCCGCCCCGGCAGGTGGTCAGTGGCGGAGCTGCCTGTGCACTCTGGCCCCGTTCTCAGCCCTCGGGCTGCAGACGGAGGGGTTCAGGTGTGGGCTCTCCCTTCTTACTAGCTGTGTGACCTCAGGCAAATCACCCGCACTTTCTGAGCTGTGGTTTCCTCATCTAGAACACAGAAATACCTACCTCCAGGGGTTGTGGCAGGAATCACACCAGACTGTGAGTGTCAACTGATCGGCACACGGTGTGGCCCACAGTAAACATTCGGTGAGTGTGGCGGTGGACCATCACCCTGCATGAGAAGGCGTCCCGGCACGCAGAGCCCGCCCCGCGCTCAGAGCCGCCGCCCTCCCCAGCACAGCTTCTGGTGCACCTGCTGACCCTGACGGGGCTCAGGGAGGCAGAGACGCAGGGTGAGGCTGGGACGAGCACCCGGAATTTGCAAGTGGGAAGGAACAGACCTGCGCTGGCCGCCCCGGGGCAGAGCAGGAGCCTGAGCTGCCTGTTCTGCAGGGGCCCAAGGACAGAGAGGGAAGAAGAAGCCTATACGTCCGCAGACAAGAGACACGGTAGAGCTGCCATGCTAAGAAGAATCTGATGGAAAGTGATTAAACAGAAGGGCTCTTCGTCTTGAAAACCGTCTGCTGGGGGGCAGAGGTGGCCGGCAGGGGAGGCTGCGGCCCCGTCTCTGGGAGGCGGTGTGCCCCCAGCCCAGCGGGGCGGGCTCTGAACGGCTGGAGCGCCTTGAGGGCCCCACAGCGGCTCAGGGACTTCCCGAGCCCAGACACAGCTGGGGCGGCTCGGTTTCGTCCTGAGAAAGCCCGGCTGACGGCCTGGACCCACTGTCCGCGCACGCCCGAGGGTCATGCTGACCCCCCACAGCCCGCCGCCTCTGGGGGGCGCCCATGGCCGCACAGCCCGCCGCCCTCGGCACCGCGGCCGCTGTGGCCGCTGCGGTTTCTGCTGCGGGACATCATGGCGCGCTGACTGCGTCCGAGGCGCCCCTGCCCCCCAGCCTGCGAGGCTCCTGAGCACGAGCGGCTCTGCCCTCCCTGCACGGGGCGCAGGGGCCCGGTGCCCACTGCGTGCCCAGTGCCTGCTGCGCAGAGCTCAGCCTAGAGGGCTACGGGGACGAGGCCAGGGGACTGTGACACTGTCACACTGTCAGCGGAAGCCAGTGACTCTGCATTCAGTTCACACAGCTCCGCAGGAGCCAATCGACTCAGAGCGGGAGTCCTGGCTGTTGACTTGCAAGGGCGGGGGCTGGGCCAGCAGTGGGTTTCCTTCAGGAAGAGCAGGCACCCGTCAAGCAGGCCATTTCGGGGCTACGCCACGGCAGCGCGCCAGCGCCTGACGCACGAGGCAAGCCCCTCGCTGTGGGAGCGCCGCCAGCTCAGAGCACCAGCTCCACGCTGCGCAGTCCATGCCGCCTGCACGGACACTTGCTCTGTGCTGCTCTCCTCGACAGAGGGAGACTCACGGGGCCGGGCACAAAGCTTCTGCTTTAAACGAACATGCTGATGCCCACGCACACGTCCAGATGCCTGCTCGGAGCCCTGAGGGCGTGTGTGAGAGCCGAGGAGCCAGCTGGTGGCACACAGGCCCCACGGCCCCACGGCCCCACAGCCTTGGGCGCCACGCAGAAGAGGGCGAGCTGCTGGCGCACGCGGGAGGAACGGCCCACCCAAGCTCTCCAACAGGGGACCGCGCGGGCCAGGGGACTGGCCTGGGTCTCTTCTCTCTGAGGTCCTCAGCGCCCCTGCTGGAGGTGGTAACGAGGCAGGAGCACCGGCTGCTTCTCAGGCCAGAAGACGAGACCACAGCCACTGACACGGGACACAGGCCACAGGTCGCACAGGACCCCAGAGCGCAGCCATGGTGCCCACACGTCCACAGAGCTGTCTCCTACTCGAATGCACACTTGTGCCACGCTGGGCGCCATGAGACAACCCCTGCAATGGCTGTGCCTCAGCGATGCGCTGGGCCCCTCTCAACGCCCCGTGCTCAGTGACGGCCATCTGGAGGCCACGTCCAGACAACCCTCCAGGCCCAGTGTAGAATTCAAGGCATCCCGCTGCCTCTGTGAACCAGCCAGGCCCTGATCTAGCAAGGTGACGGCTCCACAACGCGTTTTCCGGGAAGAAGACGCAGGGCTTCGGGCCCAAGTCTGGCCCCACAGCCGTGGCCGCGTGGCTGCTCCAGGGCCCCGTGGGGCGGGGGCTGAGGCTGCACCGCCAGTGCAGGTCTGCGCTGCTCTGCAAGGCCGGGCACCCCGCCGGGGCTCCTCCGCTGAAGGGGCACGCTGCACTCTAACCCCAGCCGAACGGCACCGAGCGCCTCTGCGACGAAGTGTGCAGCCCCAGAGAGAGCACGGGAATCTTTCACAGGGAAGAAGTAAGAACATGGCGAGAGGAAACAGGGCCAGGCGGAGGTGCCGGGACTGTGCCGTCCCGAGGGCACGCGCACCAGGTCGCAGGGTTGGGGGCGCGGATCCAGGGCCCCACAGGAGGCAGGAGAGCTGCAGACTCTCCAGAGGGGCTGGGGGTCTGAGGCGGGCCAGCGCCCCTTGGATGCCTCACACCGGCACACGGACACCCTCTCTTGAGGAGGCCTCTCCTGTTTCAGGTCTCGGGGTTCCCACAGACTGAGATGAACAAACACGACCTCCCAATAAAGTTACCACACAGGTAAGGGAACAACACGTCAGCTGAAACAACACACAGACTGACGTCCTCAGGTGTTACTCAAACACAGAACAGCTACATGCATGTCCATGACATGTGTCAGGCTAGTCATGACCTTAAACCTGTGCATCTGATATATGTAAAAACATTGAAGAAGAGCGCTTGTTTGCATCTCTCAGATCAGCTGCGACCGCCGCAGGGCTCATTGCCAAGACTGACCCACAAACGTTCTCAGAGTGAACCAGGTGCCAAGGAGACAGGAAATCAGAAAGAGAGCTTCAGGACAAGGAAGGGAACAGGGAGGCCTCCCAGAGGCCTCACGGGCTCAGAGACGCAACGGCATGGGCGGCAGCACGCGGACGGCGTGGCTGGGAACGCTTGGTCAGGCAGGAGGCTGAAGACGGCCGCAAGCACAGCCACGGAGAACTTCCCAAAGGAAAATGACACAGGAAGGAAGAATGCTTCACCACCACCACCATCGCCACCACCCAGCAAAACACAACGAAACAGCCGAGCACTGAGGGACAATTTTAAAACATGCAACATACGGTCATTGGGACACGAGAAAGAAAGAAAAAAAGAGAACAGATGGAAGAAGTACTTACAGTCATAATGCTTAAAGTCAGGGTGTTCCAAAACTACTGACAGACACCAAGCCACAGAGCCAGGAAGCTCAGAGGACACCAGCTGGAATACCCCCAAATCTACACCCTGTCATATCATATTCAAACTGCAGAAAGCCAGAGACAGCGAAGAAAATCCAGAACACAGTCTGGGGGCGGGGAGGGAAGGAGCCCCTGCATTTGTCAAACAAGGAAGAGAACTACCGAGGACACCGCATCAGAAACTGTTGAGCGGGGAAGAGTGAAGTCAGCCACATTTAGGTGTTGAAAGAAAAAACGCCACCTACCTAGGATTCTGTATCAAGCACAATTACCCTTCACAAGCAGGGAGAAGTAAGAGCCCCTCGGACACAGGGAGGTGGGGAGAGCTGAGGGGCCTTCAGGCCGGGGGCGCGACGTGGCTGCACACTGGGGGCTGCGCGTACGGAGGGCGACCCGGATGGAGGAGAGAGCGGGAAACCAAAGCTCTCCTTTTTATTCCTAATTGACGGTAAAATGTATTCAGTAACTTTGTTTAAAGTAACAACAGCAACAACACACTGGGTGGTTATGGACAGACGGCAGTAAGGACGGCATGCCGCCAGGCACAGGAGGGGGGAGCCTGTCCGAAGGAGCCTGTCCGAAGGAGCCTGTGCCACGCATGAGGCAGAACAGCGCCGTTTGAGGGGGACTTAGAGCGTTAAAATGGAGATTCCAATGCAACTGTTACAGATTTAAAAAATAAGGATAATTGATATGCTAAGAGAAGAGATTAAATGGAATCCGAAAATGCTCAGTTAGAAGAGGAAAAGGCATGAGCCCTGGCTGGTGGGGCTCGGCGGGCTGGGCGCCGGCCTGGGACCCAGACGGTTGCGAGCTTGGTTCCCCACCAGGGCAGATGCCTGGGTTGCGGGCCAAGTCCCCAGCTGGAGGTGTGTAAGAGGCAACTGATCGACCTATCTCCCGCACATCGATGTTCCTCTCCCTCTCTCTCTCTACAAATAAATAAAATCTTTAAAAAAAAGAAAAAAGTGGAAAAGGCAGAAAAAGAAGTCTCTGGCACCAGATAAAAAACATTATGGTGCTTGCTTTGGCAGCACATACACAATTAGAGAACTGTTATAAACATATCACTATAAATGTGAATGGTCTAAACATACCAAGGAAATGACAGAGATTATCAGGGAACCAAAAAACCACAACCCAATGCACACATGTTTACGAGAAACCTACTGTCAGTTCAAAGGCCTCTGTAAGTTACAAGTAAAGGAAGGAGATACGCACACCAACACCAGGGAAAAGGTGGGGTAGCGACAGCAACTTCGGACAAGCAGACTTCAGAGCAAAACACCAAAAACACCAGCGACAAAAAAGAACACGACACACTGATAAAAGGGTCCATTCTGCAAGGACACAACAAATCCTGAACACGTAAGCACCTCGCACCAGAGTCAAACCGCATGGGGCAGGAATGGGCAGAAGTGCCAGGAGAAGCAGCAGGCCCCGTGGTCACGGTGGGAGACGCCGGCACGCCTCCGTCAGAGTGGACAGGGCCGCAGGCAGGGGGGCCGCGAGGACGTGGCTGGACTCCAGAGTACCGGCAACCGGCTGCGTGTCACTGGCACCTACAGGCCACTTCACCCGACAGCAGCAGGTGACACATGCCTCCCACGCTGCCACGGAACACGCACCAAGGCAGACCCCCCCCCCGGGCCATAAAGCGACCGTAACGCATTGAAAGTAAAGGAAACACACAGCTCTCAGAACACAAAGGAATTGAAGTCGGACTCAGTAACAGAAAGGTAGCTGGGAAATCCCAAATAATGGGAACTACCCCGGTGCAGATTTAATTTCTTTTCTAGCATCTTGTTACTGTATTTTCCTCCTGCAACTACTTTTTACCTTTCAAATAACTTATAACTCAACATACAGATTAAGTGTATCGTTGACACAGAGACATCTGAAAATAGTCTTCAGGTTTTCCCAAATGCAAGAAAGTAAAATGCTCCCAATCCTCACCCCGAACTCTTCAGGGACCCAACAGTCACCCACAATGGCCAAAGCGTGGACTGCGACAACGACACGTTCCAAAGGCGACACCTGCCATCGCAGCAGAGCGGTGACCCCTGAAGGCCCTGACAACGCCGACACAGGGGCGGGGCGCGAGCGCCTTTGCACACACGGCCGCACGCCGCCCCTCCCGGCCGCGCTCAGAACGCCACACGGACCGGCCCCAGGCCCTCGAAGAGACCCGCGCTGATGGAGCGCAGGGCAGCTGCGCTGCTCTGCGCAGCCCATCCGCCCCCAGGGGCGCTCCCGCCACCCCTTACGAGCTGCGACACATGATGCCTTTACAGACAGAGGCCCCCACAAGTCAAACGACCGTGGATGATGCAAAATCCATCCACAGGATCCGGTGCGGGACGAGGTGAGCGCAGGGTAACAAACAGTCTAACACCAGGCACAAGCAAAATGTTTTGCCAAACGCAGCTCATTTTTCCAAATAAAAAAAGGCATCTAGCTCATGTATTTTAAATGCATCAGTAAACAGTCCTGACCTAACAGCACAGTGGTTGAAATAAAGCTGAACAGCCTGTCCTCTGGATTTGCCTGTCTATCTATGAGTCTTCCACATCTACCTCCTAGACTACCGGGCACCAAATAAACAGGCTTCAGACACAGCAGCCTTCCCCCAATGTCATTCCCTGCTCTGTCCTGCAGACTTGCTGTGACACCCTGAGGACAGGCCACAGCCCAGGGGAGTCAGTTCCTAACTAGCGCACCCCAGTGCCCTTCGGGAATAGCCAGTCTCGTGACATGACTTGGAGATCTTCGGGAACGAACTCCTGACAGCACCTACCGCAGGAAGGAGTAGGAGAACATTCTATTCTCTCTCCTCAGAACATAGACAACAAAACTCTACTGAGGTGGAAGCGGGGCGAACACAGGCACCCAGAGGGGAGGAGGCAGTAAAGGCGGGCCAGCCCTTGGAGAGGCCGGGTGGCGTGCGCAGCAAGGCCTCGCTGCGTGTCCTCAGAGTGTCCTGTGACGTTGGGCGCGACGGTGTATAGCACAGCCAATTTTACCACAAGGTAACTGGTATAAGTAACAGGTTCCTGTAGCGCCTCATTGTTATAACGAAACACTGTTGAACAAAAAAATTATTTAAGGACCTACTGTCTATACCTGAAATACTACTGAAGTCATTCTATTAATAAAGGCATCCTTAAACGTCCAAACTGAGCAATATTCAATCTAACACAATTTAATCATAAATTTGGTTATAGTTTCCAAGTACTGACTGTAACAGACCATGACGAAAGGATTCCATTCACGGCTAAAGCAGCAGTTTTATCCCCAACCTGTGCCCTTGCCCGGCACACAAACAGCCAACCCCACTCCTGGGCCCCCCACACCCTGCCCCCGGGGCGGCTCAGGGAAGACCACGTGCACGGAGCCTGAAAAGCCCCTCTGGGACCGGTCCTCCCTGTCCATCTCAGCTGATCAGGGTGTTATAGTAATAAATCGGGAGAATTTGGGGAGAATTCTGGTTTTGATTAGAGCTAATCTTGAACCAGAATAACTGATGATGGAAATCAGGATATATGGTAAGAGTTAATAAAGCTAAGTTCAAAGTAGCTAGAGAAATAAATCTCTCTATAATACCAAAAACCAAACCCCATCTAAAATCTCCCTGAAGAGTTGGAGACGTTAAATACAAGCACGCGGCTCCCGGGGAAGGCGCACACACAGGAGGCGGCTTTCACGGGACGGACTGCCTCCCTGCCCCGAGCAGTCTCAGCGCAAGCATCCCTCGGAGGCCCCGTCCGGTCGGCCCCCAGCCGCGCCCCGCGTGGCGCGGGGACCCTCTGGCCCATCGCGCCCAGGGTCTCCCCCTCCAGCCGTGGTTCCCACAGGCCCTCCGCCTTCCCACGGCGAGTGCGACTGTTTCAGACGCGGGCCCCGCTGTAGCCACGGCCCCGCCGCCCAGCCCAGGAGTGCAGAGCCAGAGGAGCCTCCGCGGCAGCGTCCCCGCGTGGGACCCGTCGCCTGAGAACCTTTCCATTCCAGTGAATTCTGAAGGTGTGCACCCTGCCTTTCCTAACTGTTTTTATAACATAAAGGCTCAAGATCCCCAGAGCTGAGGCGCTAACAGTAAAGGGCACGCGGGCCGACCTTCCCGTCAAGCCCAGACGCTGCTCCACACGCGTGCCGGCTGAGCACTGTCTGTCTGCCAGGCCCCTTCTGCCCCGACTTACCTTACTGTGGGCGAAGGGAGGTGCTGCGTACAAGGTGGGGTGGATCAGAGGGCGAGGCAGGTGTGGGACGGTGTGCAAGGGCACGTGCCCATGGATGTGGGGGTACAGATGCAGAGCCGGGTGTGCGGGCTTCTCTGGGCTCAGGAACTGGTGGCCTGGAGGAAGGGCTCCAGCCGTCATGGCTGACAACGGCAGTCCAGAAGCTTCCTGCTTACATACGTGGCATTCACAAGTGTTTGCAGCTTGTTCAGCCTGAAGGAAAAGAAGTACCTGCTTACTCAGAGAGATGAAGACGGGGTGCAGTTCAAGTCAGCAACAGCCTGCCAAGCACGGCAGGTGCGCAGCAGGCAGAGGCTCGTCCCGACACCCCGCTGGCCGGGGCCCTATTATGTGGGAAACGAGGGACCCGAGAGCCCAGGACGGCAGGAACCTGAAGAGGGGGGTGCGCACCCCATTCCCCAGCGGCTGGCTGCATCCTGGGCCTGTCTGCGCAGGAACAAGGGGCTGGTGACGAAGGCAGAGTAGACCAGAGACGGGGACTTCCGCTAAGGTGGAATGAAGTGTCAAACTGAACACAACTGTCAGAGGCTCTGGAAATCAACCAAAGGGAAAAGGCGGACTGAGAGGCGCTACGCACGCACATCTGCGGGCGCTGGGGCGAGCAAGGCCAGAGCCTGGCCCCCTTCCCGGGGCTCCGTCCCCGCCAAATCCCCGCCCCCGAACCAACCGAAAGACGCACAGAAAGAATCAACAGCAGAATGGAAATGGTACGCGGAATTTGTGTAGTACAAGCAAAGGGAGCAAAGGGAGAACAGGAGAGTAAAGCCAGGCGACAGGGAGCGACGGCCCCGGCAGGTGCCCGCGCCGCCCGCCGCCACTCGGTGCGAGCCGGGCGTCCCGGGCCAAGGGCACGGCCGGGGGCAGGGTGAGGACGCGGAGCAGGGCCCGGTGAGAGGGCACGAGTTTGGTGAAGCGGAAGGATACAAGACCTATACATAGAAATCAACTGTGCCAGTATTTTTATGTTACCAACAATAAACTGAAACTCAAAATTGGGAAATACCACTTACTATAGAATCAAAAAAATCTAAATTTAAGTTTCAAAAATATGTTCAAGGCCCATTGACTAGAAATTTTTTTAAATCAGAGAGAAATTAAAGATGACTTAGGTATAAAAATGTATATAGCATGTTCATAAACTGACATTCAATTTTGTTAAAACTGTATTTTTCCTAAAATTGATCTATATCATCCCACTAATAAAAGACTAGGATCAGAGCATTTTGCTGGTGAATTCTATCAAAGGACTCAAGAATATTCAAGAATTCAACACAACCTCCAAGCAGGGTCCTGACCAGTATGGCTTGGTGGGTTGGGTGTTGTCCCACAAAGTGAGAGGTCACCGATTCAGTTCCCAGTCACGGCACATGCCTGGGTTGCGGGTTCAGTCCCCAGTCAGGGAGTGTAGGGGAGGCAACTAACCAATGTTTCCCTCCCTCTTTCTCCCTTCCTTTTCCTCTCTCTAAAATTAAGTGAATAAAATCGTAAAAAAGAAAAAAAGATTAAAAATATATTCAAAAAGGTTTTTTGTAGAAGGTAAGGAGTTGATTCTAAAACTTAAATGGAAACGCACTTTGAAAAGGCCTGTGAGCCGGAGGGCAGAGGCCACCCGCTCCCAAAGCAACCGCAGTGCGCCTGTCACGCGGCCATGGCGAGGGCCCCAGGGCAGGCGGACGGGCGCACTCCCGGGGCCAGAGCAAGCGGGGGCCACGTCTGCAGAAAGATGCATTCAGACCCCCAACCTCCCGCCGTGGGCGAAAACCAAGTCAAATAAGCCGCAGGCCCAGCAACGCACGCACCACAGCTCAGCTGTGTGCTAGGCAGCGTTTTCTGGGGTGTGATGTCAGAAGGATGTTTCATACAGAAAAAACCTGGTAAACTGGGATGTACCAAACAGAAAAACTTTTGCTTTTCAAAAAACACCATAAAAAAAACTAACAAACATGCCATGGACCAAGAGAAAACGTGCAAATCGCACGCTTGATAAACCGGCACATACACAACTGCCATAGCTCAATACTGAAACAGAAAACAAACGAGCGTATGAAAGGTGCTCAACTCTGCCCGTAACAAATCCAACGAGGATGGAAACCTTAAGGGCTTATCATGTGGTCTCAGACAGGTGGAACTCCAAAACAGTGACATCAGCGTCTGAGGGGTTCGGGGAGGCCACTGCCCTCTAAGCCAGGGAGACCACTGGCGACCCATCCTCGGGATGCAGCTGCTTCTGCGAGAAATGTTCGATGTATGAGGTTGCTCGTGAATAGCTGATACACACAGAGCCCATCAGCAGGGGACCAATGAAGAACAAGACACAACCAGGCTATGCCGGCACAGCGGACCACGGGGCGTGCAGGGACTGCGGACGGGCACTGCGGGCCACCGGCTGGCGGGGGCCCCGCCAGGCAGGGCGCAGGATGGTGCGTGCGTCAGGACGAGCCTCTGTGTGAAAGTGAGAACGAACCTGTGCCTGTGCGCACACCAGTGGGCGCTGGAAGAACACAGCACCTGACACAGGGGGCCTACAGGGGCCCGGGACCGGGGTGGGCGGAGCCAGACCAGGTAGAGGGCAAGCAGGGCAGCGGGACTCCCTCCTTCACTGCAGGAGTCGGGCTCATGCCATTGAAATGAACTAACGAGCCAAGCATCCCGATGTTCATCTGTTTCTCCTTTCATTTAGAAATTGCTTGGACATCTGTGTTAAAACTGCGCAAGGAAAAATAATTGATAAGATACCCTCATCTTTGGGTAACAGAAAAGCAGATCTGTTCAAGGTTAAAAATCTCTTATAGCCCTGGCTGGTGTGGCTCACTGGATTGAGCACCGGCCTGCAAAACAAAGAATCGCGGGTTTGATTCCCAGTCAGGGCACAGGCCTGGGTTGTGGGCCAGGTCCCCAGTGGGGGGCATGCAAGATGCAACCACGCTTTGATGTTTCTCTCTCCCTCCCTTCCTCTCTAAAAATAAAAATCTTTTTAAAAAAAATCCCTTTTATAAAACTAACCTTTGCTGAAATTTTACCATTCAACTATTTAATTTTATTTTCTAAACTCTCTCCTTTGCTTCTATACAGACAAAAACTCCATGACATCGAAACGTCCGCATCCACTGGGGTTCGCAAAACTGAGAGGCTGACGAGAGAGCTCAGGTGCGAGCGGAAGACCAGGGCAGGGCTCACGGGGTGCGGGCTCGCGGGGTCCGTGCGCCTCGGCTCCCCACGGCCCATCTTCAGAGGCTGCTCGACCAGACCCGACTCTGCGTGTAAGAGGCCCCAATATGGAGAACACAGAGAGAGCGAGAGAGGCCCTCAGCACAAGGGCGAGTTCAAAGAGATGCGCCGCACCTGCTGAGCGGGGTAAGACGGGGGAGGGCTGTCCGCTTTGCTGTCCTCCGTCCCGGGGCTCCCGTTCCCTAGGGCCATGTCTTCTTGCGGGGCCCCCGGGGGCTCCCCACCACTCCCGCCGTCCGCCTCTTCATCGTCCGCCTCGGAAGAACTGCCACTGCTGCTGCTCACCTGCGGGGACTTAAAAACAAGCAGAAGACCATGAAGAGCCCCACGCCTGACCGCCACCCTGCGCCGCTGATGTCACGACGACATCGCCGTGGCCGTACCTCGTCTTTCAGGGCCATGTTTTCCCCGCCACCGTTTAACTCGCTGTGGAGTCCATTCATGCTGGCCACCACCTCGGTATCGCTGTAGTTACTCAGCGGATAAATGTCAGCAAACTTGGCTGACAACGGAGCCACATCTTCATCGTCACTGCAGCTGAGACAAGCAGAGAGGTCGCAGTGAGCCGCTCACAGGGGCTCAGACAGCACCCCCAGACTCCGTTCTCCTTATAGAGGCGCCACCCTGAGCACCGCTCCTACTTCCTGACATTGCGCGGCAGCCTGAGCACAGAGCACGCGCCCAGGAGGCCCGCCTGTGCACGCTGGAGGGAGGGAGAGCGCTCCTGACAAAGCACAAAGCAGCCACGGCCACGTGGCCCGGTGGGCAGCTGGGACCTGTGCATCCGACCGGAAGCGCCCCGGGGCCCAGTGCGCTCGCTGCCGGTGCCGGGCAACGCAGTTCTGTTCAACAAAGAGCAGCGGTGTGACTGCCGCAGTTTCAGACGCAGCCAGCCAAACAAAACTTTAAAGGCACTTTTGTGACAAGAAACTAGAGTTTGCTACTACCAGACCACTTCTGCTCATGCCAGTCACAGTCTTAAATGTCAGCCTCTGCAAGTCTTCAAGGCAGTGGGACAAGGGAGACGTTTACTAAAGACAGGCGGACTGACGTCCAGGCCGCCGCTTACGTGGGCCACTTTAGAACGCCTGAGTTTCTGGTGCGTGGCAAGAGCTGGCACAGCGACCTACAGTGCAAACAGCTCCCAGCAGGGCCCTACGCGGACACCCGCCGCCAGCGCCAGCCTGCCTCCGGTCCGTCTGCGGCCTCAGCACCAAGACCTCTGGGAGGCGACATTCTGGCTTCAGGAGTGTCCAGGACTGCCAGACTCGGGCGTCTTTTCCACTTTCAGGAAGACGAGGCTCCACGTACGAGGCGGCTCTGTAGCCTAGAGCTCACCAAGGAGGCGCAAATGGCGCTGGCCAGGCGAGGGCTGCTCAGGGCTCCCGAGGGCCCAGCACCGGAGGTGACAGGACGTGTTGCCCTGGTTGGTACGCACATCCCCTCCTGAGGTTGTCAGCATCCCCACGGGTCACAGGGGAGGCACCTGAGCTCCAGAAATGTACTTCCAGGTCAAGTGGGACACAGAAAACCGAACCTTCCAATGGCTGGCAACCGCGGTCACCCGAGCCCTTAGCTGGACATGGGCAAGCGCGGCCCGGCCTTGCCAGTAAGCGGATGTGAGGTCTGCCTGCACACCACTGTGTTTATCCTTGACTGGCACTGATTAATTTTCCATTTCTCTTCAGGCAATGAAAGTGTCAAAATTGGGCTTTAATGATTTCATGGTTAAAAGGTTGCTTAAAAAAAACAGAGGGCCCTGGTCTCAGAAAGCACTAGGAAGCCGTACTTCTGTAGCCATCCCTGTCTGGCTCTCGTCACTGCACGACTTAAACCTCCAAAACCTTATTACAAAGACGCAACTCACAAAGCTGGCGTGGAGCCGTTGTCCGTGAGGATGAGCCTGGGGTGCTGCTGGACGGTGACTGGGGAGCTGGAGCCCGACCCCGAGCTGGCGGACGACACGCTGGGCGGGCGCATCTCAGAGACGCAGTCGGGAGCCGAGCCCACCGGGAGCGGCAGCGGGTGGACGTGGGTGTCGCTGGGGACAGGGGGGTCCACGATGCCACACGTGAGGATGTGGGAGAGGCTGCAGTCATCGCAAGCACACCTGTTTGGGAGGAAGGACGGTCACCGAGCCAGCCAGGGCCTGCCAGGCGTGCTCTCCGCGGGCCGCGGTGCTGGCTCACCTTCTCCGGTAGTGGCAGCTGGGACAGTCAGGCACGCTCAGCCGGGAGGACAGCACCTGCCTTACGGCGTCTGTGAAGTTGTTCTCGCCCGTGACCGCCTTCTTGTTGGTGAACTAGAGGGAATTGCAGAATGACAGGTGAAGGCGGCGGCACCGGTCTCCTGTCACCCTGGGCTTTGCAGTTGTCTGTCGTGCTCACTGAGAAACCGAGGCCACAGCTTCCTGAAGTAGGACGGGGCCAGGAGAAGGGGCGGCAGACCAGGAGTGTGCAGGTGGAGCCACACAGGCCAGTGACCAGCCACCCTGGACAGACGCCTCCCGGCAGACACCCGGCCCTCCCCCAGAACCTGCCGTGCGCTGGTACGTCAAGGTACCTGCAGCAACACAGAGATGAATTGCTGCCCCCAAGGACCTGAGGTTCCAGAAGAGCAGACAGGTAAGAAACTGAGGGTGGGGGAACCGTGGTGTTAAAGGGGGTGCTCGCAGACAGCTGCTGAGGGGCCACAGGGGCCCAGGCCTGAGCCAGGCCAGGAGGTGGCCGTGTGGGTAGTGCTGTCAGAGGCCAGGGGACAAGCAGCAGCTGGGTGTCCCCCCGACACCTCCCAAAGGCTTGCTGACCCTGGGCTAAGCAAGGTGAGGGCTTGGGGCACCAGGACTGTGTGGCCTGCCAGGGCTGCGGGCTATGCACCCAGAGTGTCCACGAGCTAACGGAGGCCAGGGCGCCCAGCCCGCAGGCGGCAGAGGCGGGGAAGGACACGGCCATTCGGAAGGCCGGCTGGCGAGGACACCAGCGGCAGGAACGAAGACCAGCCCAGACGAGGGGTGGGTCTGGGAGCTGCCTAGGAAGCAGCGCCTAGACTTGCCAATGACTCAGCGAGCACCTGGACTTCAGAAGGAACTGGGACCAGCCCTGGCCATGGGACACTGGCAGCTGGAAGGGCCATCTGGCAGGACAGGAGCCACGCAGGGAGGCTTGGGGGATCGGGTTTGCAAGCCGGAGACGGGACCCTCTGTCTACCTGTGGTGCCAGAGGAGACCACGGGGGTGAGAACGCGGGAGCGGCGTGGGGGCGGGGCCAGGGAGGCTCAGGACACCAGGGAGCAGCGGCAGCAAGGGGACCAGAGCTGAGGGAGCCTGAGTTTCCAGGAGGCCGAGTGTCCTCAGGCCACCACAGGGAGGAAGGCGGGTCCCCAGCGCGAGGGAGGTCGGTGCACTTGGTGGCCTCACAGTGTCACCCCACGAGAATAACCCGCACACGCCCCCCGCCCCGGAGGGGACTGCTGGACTCACTGTGCAGGAGCAACGGCGCCGACGCCCAGCCTCACCTGCTCTTCAAGGAATCGCCGCTGTCTGAAAAGCTCCCAGTCTTCTGTCAGCGTGCGCGGCTTGCTCTTCGTTGTCATCTAACAAGGGAAGTAGCAAAGCAAGACGCTGAGTGCCAGCAGGAGCTCCCCAGGCCTCTCTCATGGGGACATATGAAATGTCAACACCTATGGAAGCGTTGCTGTGGACAAGGGCAGGGGTGGCAGAACCGATGTCACGGACACTGTTTCCACGTCAGCACCTGCTGACCGACTCAAAATCACCGCGGACACAAGTTCCAATTACAGAGAAACTAAGGGGTCAGAGCGGGTCGTCAAAACGGGAGGCAAGCATTTGCCATTCACTGACTGCCTGTCACGGGTCTTGCACGCGCTAGACACACAAAATGAAGGTGGCAACGCCAGCAGCGAGGGCCTTGGAGTCGGAGGCAGGACAGGACGACCGTGGGCAGGCAGCACGGTGGCCAAGGACAGTGGGCTGGGTGTGGAGGGCGGGGCACCCGGGGGGCTGGGGCAGGTGGCGAGGTCGGGTGGAGGCCGCGGAGACGGCCCCCCATCACCTCCGGGGCAACTCTCCCCGCAGTGTGCAAGTCACCCCACAGTGCGAGTGCACTTGACGCCACTGGATAGCGCACTGTCCTCGGTGCTTTGCGCTCAGGGGCAACGGGGTACATGTTAGGTGATGTGCATTCTACCAAAACTGAAACACCAAACTGAGAGAAAATTAAGAATAGGTTCAAGGCACTATCTTACTTTGGAGGGTGAGGCTAGGAAATGAGGTTACATCTTGATGTATATACCTTCTCCCCAAATAATTCAATCCTACAGGCAAGAAAATACTACCAATAAACCCTCCAAAATGAGTAAAGAGCAATTTCATAAAATAAAATTCACACACTTGAAAAGAACTTTAAATGGCTTAAACTCAGAGAAGAAACTGATGTCGTCCTAATTGACAACAAAAGCCCCACAAATCAAGTTTTGTAAGATGTGCCCACATTGCAGAAAATATATAGGTTTAAACACATTCGAGAGCAGAAAAGAACAAAAAAGACTGAGAAGTATGCGTTCAACCTAAGAAGCCAAAATAAGATAAAACAGGAAACCAACTAATAAGGTAGAAAGGACTTAATGTGAAGCAGAAAACCAAGCCGCAGATGCAGGCGCTGCCAGCCCCTCCCGGGCGCAGGGTCAGGCAGACGGGCAGGGCCCGGGACAGGCCACTCCGAGGAGGTTCCTCCACTGCCAGGCTCCTGCTCCTCACGCCTCAGGGAGAGCTGCCAGCAGTGCCCCAGGCGCCCCAGCTGGGCCAGCACGATTTAAAGAGTTGAGTCACCAAGAACAAGCTTTCCCGATTTCACCTAGCAATGCAGGCATCTCCTGCCGGCTGAGCGCCTCTGGGGGTGCCCCGCGGAGACGGCGGGGCAGCAGGCCCGCTGCCCTTCTGCGCCCTTGGCTGGACAAAGTCCTGTCTTGGAAGGGCAGCCACAAGAGGCAGCCCACGAGGCTGGGGAGTCCTCATTCCCACGCCCCCCCCGCCCCCCGCGAGCACTGGCTTCTGGCCGGGCCCTCAGCCGAGAGGCTGTGGATAGCGCCCCAGGCAAACAGCGACTTGCGCAGCTCACTCACTGAGAACCCAAACCCACTCAATAAATGCAGTGTAAACTGGAGAGGCAGGAAGAGGTCAGTGCTCCTGCCCTGGCCAGGTGGCTCAGCCGGCTGGGATGCCGTCCTGTACACCAAGGTTGTGGGTCCAAACCCCCGTCGGGGCACATGCCCAGGCTGCAGATTCGATCCTCAATCGGGGCACATGTGGGAGGCAAACAATTGATCTCTCTCTCTCAGAGCAATAAAACACACCCTGGGGTGAGGATTAAAAAAAAGAACGAAAGAAAGAAAAGCCTATAATCCTGCCCCTCCTGTCTGCAAAATAAATCAAGACCCCTAGTGGGGGCTTCTAGCAAGTCCTCTATGGAACAGAAAATTTAAAGTATTCCTGAAAATTGGAAAATATGAAAAGTTTCTCTATTTGCTCGCTGAGATAAGCATAACCTTCCTGGGAAACACACAAGACCTCAAAGGCCAAACCCCCACCGCACGCCAGCTGCAAAGGCGAGCACCGTGATGCCTCAGGGCCCAGACGGAGGGACCGCGCCTAGAATGGCGGCAAGTTGTATCTTATAATGGGTTAAAAGTAATGTAGCGTACTCTAGGAGTGTTTTTTAAACTTTTATTTGATTTTAGAGAGAAAAGAAAGGAGTAAGGAAGAGAAACATTGATTTGTTGTTCCTCTTAATCTTGCATTCGTTGGTCACTTCTTGTATATGCCCCGACAAGGGATTGAACCCACAACCCTGGCGTGTTGGGATGACACTCTACCCGGCTGGGCCTCTACCAGGCTTTAATCCCAGGAATGCAAGGATGTCTCAAAATTAGGAAACCTAACCTCTAAAGTCTTTTGGAAATACATAAAAGGAGAAAAACCATACAATCAAATTATCTATTCCTGTTTTTACAAAATACAAAAATAATAACCTTAATGAGCTAGGAGAAAAACAAACTTTAATTTGCTAAAAAGTATCAAAAATCTGTATGGCATTGATGTGCAATGTCCAAACAACTCCTTTGCAGCCCAAACAAACAGAACAAAGTTCAAGTGCTGGGACTAGGACAAAACTAGCACCGCTTGCAGAGGACGCCACGGTCCCCCGGAACATTCACAGCGACTGGCTGTACAACCACGACAGCGCCCACGGAGTCTGGTGAGAGGGCCTGACAGCGACTGGCCTTCCTACACACACCAGCGATCGCTGTCAGGAGATCTGTTCTGCCACTTGACGTGCCATCCTTAGAGCCTCCCGAACCATGAAGCAGCCAGGTGTGAACTCCGTGAGAAATGCGTAAACCGTGTGGCCGTAACACAGGGCACAAAAGCCACCTCGCGGAAGGTGTACGTGGCGCCTTCTTTGGCGGGAAAATTCAAATTGGTGCTAAGTCTCTGGTAACACTGGGTATCCCTGAAAGTTTTAGGAAATGTCTTTTTCTCTTACTAGCAGCTATTACTACTGCAAGTCTGAAAAACGACCTTAACAGAGAAGATGGGCCGGGGCCAGCTGGAAGCCCCTGTTCTCGGCACTCGGGAGACTCTGGCCGCAGCGCCACCCCCTGCAGGCCCCCCTCCATCGGCAGCCCTGCCTCCCCACCAGGCTGCCCCCGCTGCTAGCCAGCCGCCCCCCAGCGGCAGGCTGTGCTCGAGTCTGCGCCCCCTCCTAGGCAGCAGGGCATGGACAGAGCGGCCTCTGCAGGTCCCCCTGGGCTGTGCGCACCGGGCTCTGCACCCAGTGCCCAGTGACGGGCACAATGCCCGCGAGGCTCGGCCGCTCTGCCCAGGGCAGCAGCCTGTGAAGTGACTGTGGGCGTGACCAGGCCGCGGTGGCCTGATTCCCTGCTGCCGGCCCCGCGGGCACCCTGCCCCGGCGCTGCGCCCGCAGGCTCTGGCGCACCCGCACCTGCTCGTCGACGTAGGCGTCGATCCGCTTCTGGCACTCCAGCCACTGGGCGGCGACCCTGCGTAGCTCCTCCTCGGAGCGCTGGTAGCGCTGCAGCAGGGCGCTGTAGGCGTCCTCGCTGCAGGCGTCGTGCGTCGTGCTGCCCAGCCTGCGGAGAGAGGCCTTTCAGCACAGGCAGGGGTCCGGGTCCTCGGCCAGCGGCCAGCGGCCAGCGGACGCCACGCACGCCCCACGGGCTGCTGGGAGGGACCACGAAGGGCACATGCAGGGCACCCAGGACAGCAGCGTCAAGGAGCAGCTCCGGCGGGAAGGGCTCCCAGGAAGGGCGCCGAGGATGAGCACCGCTGCCCCGGGACGGCTGGGGCCTAGGGCATCCGGGAGCTGGACATGTGGCTGCAAATAAAACAGCGAGTGAGATGTCCACGGTCTGGACCTGGTCTCTAAATTAGCAAAACAGAAACCCAGCTCAGGCAACAAAACGCAACTACACTCTCGCTCCATTTTACACCTTGGTAAGAAACACAGTAAGGGGGCAACCAGGAGAATGAACAGGAAACAGAGGACACACAAGTAGGTAAACACGCATGTGTCTGAAAAAGAGGATGGGGCAAGAGGGGCGGCCAGGAGGCCTGTGGGGGATGGGGACAAAGGGACCTGCAGCTTCTCATCAGAAACTACTCATTTCTGTAATATTTAACTATGTCAACACCTGAACCAAAGTAACTGTATCTGAACACATCCTGACAAGGAAGTTCAAACCCAAAGACAATATTTACAACCGCCCAGAGCCAAGGGGACGCTGGGCTGGCAGCCGGCGGTGCCTGTGCGTAGCTCTGGCAGCCGCCCCCGCGCCACAGGGGCGGGGCGTACCGCTGCGGGTGCGTGCTGCAGGCGGCAGGAGGCCCGTTGCTCACACTCGCGCACAGAGGCTTGTCCTCACGTGGAAACGTGCCCATGCTAAGTACAGGCTTGAAGACGGCACCGCGTTTCAGAACGTGCATGAGGGTGGACAGAGGACAAACTCGAGAAGCACCCAACTGTGTACAGCACCTCCTCCTCCTCATGACTTTGCAGACTTTCAGCATTTTATTCCAATAACAATTCAGTAATTTCATAACAGTGCAAGTAAAGCAACATTAAATCAGCAGTGTACCAGTGGGTGCGAAAGGCCCCCCTCCTGTGTCCCGTCTGAGGGCGCCCCCTGGGGAGACACACCTGTGCCGGCTCCACACAGGACACACACTTCCTCGGGGGAGTCAGGTGCAGGGACCCCCTCCCCGGAGGAAGGAGGGGGAGAGAGGGACGCTGACCCCCACAGTGACCAAGGACGCAAAACTCAAGACACACCCCCAGATTCAGAGGCGCCTCCGGGCTCCACGTGGAGGCCAGGGAACCTGCAGGCCTGAGAGCACCCCCTCCTGCCTCAGCCCCAGGAGCTGGAGGTGAGACCCGCTCCTCCACAGGGCGACGCAGGGTGATGCCGGGTCTACTGGAGCCAACAGGGAGCAAAGCCGTCGGGGCCCTGGGGCGCTCCGTGGGGCTGCCACAGCGCAGTCTGCAGGCAGAGGCTCGCAGTCGAGCAGAGCGGGGCTCGCGTTCCAAGGAGACAGGCCCCAAGGGCCGACCTCAGGGTCCAGTGACAACGGTTCGGCAAACAAGTCACTAACCTATTCTCTTAGTGAAAACAGAACAGCACGTGGGAAATACCCCTGCTGATGCCGATGACAAATAACGCATAGTGAGATGGGACGTGATCAAGAGAATAAAATGAAATAAAGTCAGTTTGAAAAAGTTTACTAGGACCCTCATTAAAAGTTTTCCTATCAATCAATATTATAGAAAGACCACAAAACAAAGACCACATTGGGCTCTAGCTACAACCATCCACAGCCACAAATACGCAGAAACAAGGCTCCCGGCCCAGCCACTGGGAGGGAAGCAGAGTCTGACAGAGCTTCTGGGTCCTGCCACCAACGCCCGGGCTGCAGGAGCTGGGGCCCCAGCTTTGCTACAGAACAAAAGGGTCCTATTCTTTACCACATAAATTGGGACGGAAAAGGGATGGGGAACCCACAGCTTAAGGAATCTCTCCACACATGCGAAAAAGGGAGGGTGGAGGAGGGCCACTGTTCAATGGTGACAGAGTCCCTCGGGGAGACGGATGCTGGAGGCGGGTGACGGCTGCCCAGCACTGCGGGGCAGCGATGCCGCGGACTTGCACGCTTAGCCTCAACAAGCTGTGTGCTACGTTTACTCTGTCACAGCCTTAGATAGTTAACCATGTTGTGTACTAAGAGCCATTGAACTGTACGTTTTAAATGAGTGAATTGTACAGTCATAAATTGTATTTCAATAAACCTGTTAAAAAAGGGAGCAATAACTCTCCTAAACTAAAAACTAGGCAGGACTATGGAGACACACACTGGAGAGATGAGAGAATAAAAAAGGCCAGACCATAACGGCCAAGCGCCGGCTCTGGGAGAGGTGCCCGCGCCTGCACGGGACACACAGGGACTGACTTCTGGGGTGGCCGTGCCGGGTGGCACCTACAAGGTGTCTGCCTGCTCACAATTCAGCAAGTGGTGCATCTGCTTTTGTGTTGCTTTCTGTGTCTCAATTTTGCTTAACCATACAGTTGAACCAATATAGGCCAGAAACAGGGTGTCACTGTACAAAGAACAGAGGGCTCCCTGTGCCACAGATGAGGCCACCGCTGCAGGCCATGGGGCTCACGTCTGCTTCGTGCGAACTCTTCCGCGCGGCTCAGCGGGCAGCTACAGCATGAGCTCGAGTCCGACCTGCTCTCCACCGACAGGGACTCCACCGGGAGCGTCTCCCGTGGGCGCCCAGCCCTCCGGGCCACTCTGCCCCGCCCGTGAGCAGCACCACGGCCTGACCCGGACCCCCGCTGGAGGCGAGCCAGCATCTCTCTCGGGGAGCACGGGGGAGCCCAGAGACAGGGCCCAGAAAACAACAGCATCTGTGACACAAGTCAGGCTCCTGTCACCGCCCCCCCCCCCTTCAGGGCAGGCCCATCAAGCTCACGGCCTCACCAAGAAAAACCCCAAGGTGTAAACGCCCTGCGAGCTGCTGTAAGGCCCGCCTGCCAGGATGCACGTCTTTCCACAACGCGCTCGTGTGGCTCTGAGTGTCGTAAGTGGGGACAATCCAGGTTCTGCACTTCAGACTCACAGCTCTGAACACTCCTGACTCTCTCCCCTGTGAGGATCGCAGGCAGGACCCCCAGGACACCAGGTCCCGGCGGCCACACCTGGCAGCGTTTCCTCGTGACCCCCTTACCCTGACCTGCTTCTCCAGAGGCAGGGCCTGTGGGCAGGACGTGGGGAACACAGGGAACAGAGGCTCCCTTTACACACGGGGTTCCGGAGGAAGAAGCAACCGTTCTTCAAGGCAACTACAACATGAATTTATTTACTTAAAAATAATTTCCAGCCCTGCAAAGGTCGTGGGTTTCATTTCCAGTCTGGGCACAGGCCTGGGTTGTAGGTCGGTCCCCAGCTGGGCACATGTGAGAGGCAACCAATGGACGTTTCTCTCTCACATCAATTGTTTTTCTCCCTCTCTCCCTCGCCCTACCCTGTAAGAAAATAGTAATTTCCATTCTTTGTGAGTCTGGCCCAACTAAGTCTCAGTAAGTTCATGCCAATAAAAACAACTGCGCCGGTCCTGTCACGAGGGCGCACCGGACGTGCACATCAGTTCATGCGGGGCCAGCAGACAAGGACTGAAACCAGCAGCCTGGCCCCAAGCTCAGCAATAGCAGACCCGGCCCGGGCCGGGTGCGCTCACCTTGGTCCTGGGTGGGGAGTGGTGAGCACCCTGGGCGCGCTCTACACCAGTGGGAAGGACCTGAGCTGAGACAGGGACGCTGAGGGGACATCAGAGACATGTAGGTGTAGCTGGCCCCATGCCCAGGAGCCTCCTGGCCCCGCAGACCGGCGCTGTAGCCCTCCGCCCGCCCCGCCCCCTGCACACCCAGTGCCACAGCGAGGACATCAGCCCAGACACCTGGCCATGCCCGGGTCCTGTCAAGGTAAAATGCTGTTTACCGCAGCTTGTCCTTCTTCACGGAAAATCTGCGGTGTTACCTTAGCAGCACCGATACTGGGTTCGCCACTCTAGAGTCGAACCGCGCCCCTCTGGGCTCGTGGCCCCCTTCCCCGGGCCGGGCTTTCCCGGAGGCCCGCGGTCTGTGCGACGGGAGCGCGCCCGCTGCGGCGGCGAGCGGGGCACCGCTGCGCTGCAGGGAGAGGGACCACGCTGCCATGCCATGGGGGCACACAGGGACACACGAAGACGGAATACCTGATCTGAGACACCAGCGCCGGCAGGTTGCTCTGGAGGAGGGGCTCCGAAAAAACCAGATTCTCAAACAGGTGTTTATTATGCAGTTCCCATGTCACCTGGAACTTTTTCAAGTGCTCATTTTCCTAGTTAAAAAAATAAATAAATAGAAGACGTGCTGAGTTGATGCAGGCTGAAACCCCCCAGAAGGATGTCCTCTCCCTCTCAGCCCGCCCCGGGCCCTGTGCAGGGGGCCCGCAAGGCAGGGACTCGGCCCTCCGCCCGCACAGAGGCAAGGGGGACGGGACCCTCAGGGGGTGGGGGGCAGGGAAAGAGCGAATGACGGCACACACGACGGTCGTCTCACAGTTACGCTTTCAAGACCGACCAGAAACCCGACTTTTTGCAGCACTTAAATGCATGTATATCTTTCGGTGACAAAGGACGGTCATTTTCTTGCCTGTCTCGAGAAACCTCCCCTCTGACAGACACAAACTGCTCCCTGAGGGACACTTGCGGAAGGTCAGGTCTTCCTGTCCCTAATAAACCTGGACAAACTGACCACTCAGTTTAGACGACAATCTTAACGCCTGTGAGCGCACTCGCTGCCCTAGAGAGTGTCACTGAGAGAGGCGAGGGGCCCAGCAGGGACAGCAGCGTCCCTTCCCCACAGGCAGCCAGCACTCCTGGCAGGTCTCGCTGCAACGGGGCACGGGTGCATCTGGCTTCCACCGGCGGGCGCCACGCCCACGGCTGGTGCTCGAATTGCCCGCAGCACAGGGGGCGGGGTCCTGCCCTGAGGACGGCCTGCTCGGGAACTGCCTCACGCTCCACACTGTCGCTGCGTGTCCCCTCGGAAGTGGGCCCTCCAGGGACGACACACAGCAGCCTGTGCCTGGTGGCCATTCAGCCACATGGAGACGTCAGCACACAGCCTGCAGGGGAGGCTCCGTGGCGTGTCCCTGATGCTTGCCGGGCACGGGGCCGAAAGATGAACGTCTGTGTGACGACGAGGCTGCGCGCACCCCGGGGGCCTGCTCTCTGTGTGCACAAACCAGTGCCGCTCATTAGCTCCTGCTGCCCCCGAGGGCCGGGCAGAGACTCAGCCGAGGGGGGTGACGTCAGCACAGCCCCCAACCCCTCTTCAGTGCCGTTCGGCGTCCCGCCTGCTCTCACCACCGCACCCGGCGGCTCCCTTGCGCGCCACACCCCGCATCTCTGAGCCACGGCGCAACCCAGGGAGGTGGGGCGTGCACAAGGCCAGGGCCCAGGGCCGACACACTTAGCCACGGGCACGCGTGTCACCCAATGTGCCTGTAACGCCACGGCCCCAGGCAGAAGCGATGAGAGGACACAGGTCACAGACCTCTGCAGAGGCCAGGCCATGCAGGCACAGGGCCAGGCCCAGGGCAGAGGCTACCGCAGCAGGCCCTGTCCCCCCGCACTGAGCGCGAGCCCTCGCGGCCCAGGAGCAGGAGCAGCCCCGCCGGGGACGGGCGCAGGCTGCAGCTCGTCTCCCAGGACTGGGAGCCATGGTGAGTGCTGGCTTTCGAGCCCATGAACGCCTCGGCTCTGAGCTGTCTTGCGTTTCCTGACATCGCAGCGACGCGCTTTGACAGACGTCCTCCTGCTTTGGCTCCTCAGCCAGTGACCCAGTGGTTTCCCTCAGAGGACAGGAGTGTCCGGGGCCTGTCTGCTGCGCCATGGGAGGCCAGAGGGGGCGCCTCTGTGTGACGCTGAGACAGATCACCGACCCAATAGCTGTATTTTGTGCTTCAAGTTCATGAGTCCCTTCCAAACCACAGGAAAACACCCCTGGGTAAATCACTAGGAGTTTGTACCAATAAACACGGTTCAAACTCATCACTGTTAGTGTCACAGAAGGGCACCCCACGCCGACTCCCGGGGGCCTGCACGGAGGCAGCTGGCCCGTGCACAGCAGCAGCTGCTGGCAGGGGCGCCGGGCCATGGCGGCCGTCCTCAGAGCGCCGCTGGGGGGCGGGGGGCGCGGTGGGGGCAGGCGCTGAGCGCTGAGGCCTGCTCCCTGACTGGGCTCCGCTTCCGAGGCCCTGGTCCTCGCGCAGGGCTGGCTGTTGCCTGCTCCCCTCCAGCTCCTCCCACGGCCAGCGCGCGCCTCAAGGTTTCAGGAGGTCACTGCACAAATGGCATTTTCTACTGTAGCGACACCTGAGAAAGTCCCTGAACCCGCTACGATTATGCTGCCCATGTAAACTTTTCTGGTGAGGTCTGTCCAAAACTTTCGAATCACATCCAGACCATTAGGCTCACACTCTGAGGACCACTCGTTTCACAGTGTGGCTCCGCCACCAAGCAAGCACCCAGCACCGGCCCGGCGGAGTGCCGCTCGCTGAACTCAAGTCGTGACAAAAACTTCCCAGACCGTCGCCAGTGAACAGGTGCCTCTGGGGCCGCCGGGAGGCAAGAGGCCGCCCTTCTGAGGGGTGGGGTCACAGCAGCTGCGTTTCCACGGCACCCCCGTCCCTGTCCGGCACGCTGCACTATTCCCGGTGGCACCGGGACCCGGGGGCGGGGCACGTCCTGCCTGCCTCCCTTGTGAGGGCTTCGAGGTGCCCGCAGGGGGCCCCTCCGGTGAACCGGGGCTGTGAGCCCTGGGGCCGCAAGCAGGCACCCTCTTCAGGCATGCGGCACACAAGGCCTCTGCAGCAGCATCAGTGACCGGCCGCCTGAGCAGCCGCTTCTTTTTCCTGCCCTGCTGACCACACACGGTCCGCACCAGGTCCTGCCCGCCACCTCACTCCCTTGGCCTCATGCTCGCCAGACCGTGTTTCAGGACACGTCACCACCTGTCCACCACGCAAGACGTCTGTCCTAAGCAGGCAGAGGGCAGAGAAGTCAGGCAGCCCCGCCGCCGGAGCATCGTAGGGACAGGGCCTAGGCCGCAGCTCACCAGGGTTCCGAGGAAGGAGCTGATGGTGCGCGCGGCCCGGCAGAGAGCGCCGTACTCCTCGAGCAGCAGGGAGATGAACTGGCGGGCCTGCGGCGGGCCCTGCAGGCCGGAGGGCGCCCGCACGCGGGCCGCGGCCGACAGCTGCCGCAGGAGGCGCACCTTCATCTCCAGCACGTGCTCGCGGGCCTGCTGCTCCAGCCGCTGGTACAGCTGGTAGGGGTCCCTCTCGCAGAGCCTGCACAGAGAAAGGCAGTCACCACTCACCCGGGACCCCAGATCCCCTTGGGGGACATTTTATATCCAGAACATCGTTCCTGAAGCCTTTCCCCAGGACCCAGAAATGACACCCCCTTCTCTCAGCCTGGGAGAGGTACATCCACCCAACTCAACAGAGGGAAGTGGGCGGAGTGTCAGGAGCTTCCTGGTGTCATCCCACAATGGCCCGGAGACACCGGCATTCCCTAGGAGCTTCCCCTGGGCCGGCCCTGCCTCCCCCAGCACTGACTCGGCCTCCCGCTGCTGGCGGGCTCTCCCAGGCTCGAACGCTGAGGCCCACACAGGATCAGGAGGGTGTGGGGACCCACAGAGCCAGCAGGTGGCAGAGCGGACACACCACTGACTCAGGCTGTCACTGGGCCGTTGAGTTAAAAACAAAGGCAACTGAAGATGATTATGTTTAAATGCCGATACGTTATCAGGTGAGAAAATGACCCCTCCGAGGCAACTCCTAGGAGGGGGCAGGGAGGGGGGACGCAGCAGACAGCACCTGCCTTTCCTAGGAGTCCGGTGCCCAACCCCAGTGAGGGTGTGTTGTTTTTATACTCAGGAAACTTAGAGACAGTTTATCTCTTTTAAAATTATCCCACCGAAAAACTAAGAAAAGTACATAAAATAAAATTTTTAAGCTGAAAAGCAAGAAAAAAAATGGACACCCCCCCACCCCCCGGGCCGCAGCAGCTAACATTCCCCCCGAAGTCCCTTCCGAGCCGGCTCTCCAGTGTCTGGCGCTGCTGCCCACCCTGAGCCTCTGAAGGCCCCTCGATGGTGGGCGAGGGTCACAGGACCACCAGCCCGGCCCCGCCCCCACCCCAGGAGTGGGGGGAGCCGCTTCATTAGACGCGAGCGGGGAAGCGCCTTACACTACAGTCCCTCGACTTAACATAACGAATCCTTTCCCCTGCCGGGCACCACGTCTGGCCGAGAGAGAAGAAAGAGTTACTGCCTATTCCACTGGAACACTCCCACCCCACCGAGGCTGTAAAAGAGCCAAGTAAAGCCCTGCGGTGGCACGTGTGACACTTTATATACAACGTGGCCAGAGACACAGTGAAAACCCGTGGGATTCCTCCTGTGGCCAGGACACTTCAGGGATATAAACAGAAGGTTCAGTCTAAGGATCTCGCTTAATTATCCTCTGGAACAGAATGAATTTCGTCTGCTAGAGAAAAGCCACACAAAACTCAAAGGACACAGGGACCACCAAACTCAAGTCCACTGTACACGTCCTTCTTAGTTCCTCAACCTAGTGAAATCAGACACACATTGTATCTTACTTCCTTGTCCATGTCTGTATCTTATACATTTGATGAAACGGCCACGTGTGGGTATCTTTGCCAACAGACCTCACTCAAGTCCCGCAGCTGAGGCAGGAGTGTGCTGGAGGTGCCATGGAGGCGCACCCAAGCGTCCCCGTGCGACAGACCGCACCGTGGGCTGGAGGCCGCGCCGGGCGCCTAGGCCCGCGAGGCGGCGGCCAGGCGAGGGGCCGCGCAGGAGCTCGCACTCGCACAGGCTTTAGACAGGGTGGCCTCTTTGGGAAGGTGCCTGGAAACCAATGTGAACGATGGAAGGGCGATAAAAGAGAAACCCTGGAAAAGGCAGAACACTCCGAGACAGAAGAGCAAACGCCAAAACTCCAGGAGAGGAATGAAGGTGTGAGCGCGAGGCGGAGGCAGCACCGGATCATGCAGGCTGCCGGGGGCCCCAGAGGGGAGAAGAGGGCGCCGCCACCAGCCGGGGCACCCCTGCCAACGGACTCCCCGATACCCCTTGCCTGAGTGTGTCGGCATTTAAACAAAAAGTGCTCCTGGCCACAAAGACTGGGAAACCAGAGAGTGTTTGAGAGGCACAGCTCCAACGGGGCTGTGGGGTCCTGGCACCCCAGACCGTGTGCCCCGCTCTCTGAGCGGCACTGTCCCAGCCCCAGGCCCGCACAGGCCCCCCCCACCCCCCCCGCACTGCGACTTGCTGAATGTGCTCTTTCAACTGTTTCTTATTTCGCGCTGGCCTCTTCCTGAGCGCTCAGGAGCTGTGCGGTCACGGAACTCACGTGCAGGTCAGGCGTGTTTCTCTAATACTCACTAGGAAACCTAACTTCAAAAAAGGCACACGCCGCCTGGAGCTGTCTCACAGCACCGCAGAGGCTCACGGGTCCCTCCCTGACTCACGGGCCGGATTCTCCGGCCTGTCACAGCCCATGGCCCGCCACTGCTCCCGCGTCCAGGAAACACCACAGCAAACAGGAGTTCATACAGCACCCACAGGTGCTGCATTCAAAACATGAGAAAAAGAAACCAATGTGAGAACTGAGCCATGAAATCTCTAGCTCAAATTTTTCACTTTTATTTGGAACATTTCAAAAAAGAGAAAAAAGATGCTAAAACTATGAGAAGAAATAAAAATGACGTCCACCTCAAATTCTGTGTTGTCATGAGCACGCGGTGTCTGAAGAGCAGGCACTAGGTCATGAGCCAGTCATGCCTAGGAACACCCGGCTGGCCGGCCGCTCCGCCTCCTCACCTGGCAGGCAGGGCAGCTGCTGAAACCCCTTCCTGGCTGAGCAAAGTGCTCGTCCTCGCTCCCGCACTGTTGGTGCTTAGGGTCGGCCTCAGTGCGAAGCACCGAGAAGCATGTCGCCTCGCTTTTATCACACAGGCCGTGAGCGTCTCAGCGAGCCAGGCCGGGGGCCGTCACACTGGGGGCGTGCCCCTGGGCCCTGGGCGCGGAGCCCCTACCCCACCCCAGGCAGGGCCAGGCCCGGGGCACAGGCCGGGGACACGAGTACCTATCCACGAGCTCCTTCACCCCCTCCTTGTCGGGCACCAGGGACTGGTCTTGGTCGCCTGCCAGCGGGGTCCCCGCCTGGCGGTAAATGCAGCGGACCATGCAGCGCACTTCGGACCAGTAGTTCTGCAGCTGCTGCGGCTCCCGGTCCGTCTCGGCCGAGATCTCTCTGTGAGGTGGCACGAGGGCAGGTCAGGGTCAGTCAGCACCATCCTCGCCACCCCCACCCCCACAGGCCCTCCCGCCCGCCTGCCTCGGCCGCCCTGTGGCTGGCTGCATGGCCGTCAGCTGTCCTGTCCCCAGGGGGTGTCAGCTCCCCTCGCAAGACAGGGATCAGAGACGCTGAGCAGCCTGGCCCCCCGACCTCTGCCGTCCAGGGGCCCATGAGGCAGCTCTCGCCCCCACCCAGGCCCTGGGCCCTGGGCGGCCAGCCCTCCTGGCTGCTGTCCCTCCTGCGGACTAGCTCCCTCCTCAGTCCTCGGGCTCGGAAGGAGGGAGGAGCCTCACTCACCCGGGGCTCCGCACCAACGGCCGCCCTGGGCGCAGGCTCCCTCTCGGGAGCGTGCGGCCTTTACGCAGAAGCCGATCCCACCCCAGCCCAGCACCGGTTCGGTGGGCCCCGTCCGCTCTGGTACCTGCGCTCGCTGCAGGCCTCGCAGGCACACGCTGTGTCCGAGGGCGGCGGCTGGGCACCCAGGGCCAGCCTCCCGCCGCCTGCCTCTGCCGGGGACCCGCCTAGAGGGCCGTGGAGCAGGAAGTCCTGGCCCTGTTTGAAAGAGAGAACAGCACAGACCAGTCACATCCAAATGTTCCTGCACAGTGTTCTCTCTCGCTGCCCCCCCGCCGCCCCCAGCCCCGGCCCTGCGCTTCCTGAGTCTGTCTCCATTCCGCCGGCTAGTGCAGCCCGGTCACTGGACCTCGCGGGCGCGGACAACAGTGTGGCTGGTGCCTGTGGTGGGGGCGGGGCAGAAGAGGATGTAGGGGCATAAATGGTGATGGGATATAAATAAATTAAAGTTTAAAAACCAAATGCTCATATACAAATTTCAGACAAATACCTTTAAAAAACCCCACAAAACTGAGACACTGAAAATTTCTGAACCAACGTTACAGAGAAAACTTCTCCTTACACCCAAAAATTGTGCCTGGAATCCGTTGTTTCCCTCTGACCATTACATCATACTCCCCTGAGGAGAGCGAATAGCTTCCTTCCTTCTCCGAAAAGGGCAAACCCACCTAGTGTCCTAGGCAGCCCACGGCGATCACCCCAGCGGGAACCCCCAGGAAGGGACGCAGCCGGCCCCTGCGATGGCGCTGGGCAGAACTCCTGCGGCCCCCCCGGTGCCACGTCCGGAGGCCTTGGCGTGGCACGGGCTCCTGTCAGGACGGCCGCCGGCTCTGGCTGAGGGGAGAGGCTGCTCCGTGAAGGACGGCGGAGCAGGCGCAGCCTCTGTGCCTCACCACCCAACAGCACCTGAAAGGTGTCGCCAAGAGCCACCACAGGGAACACCAGGACAACTGTGGGGCCCACTCCACAAACCCCGGCCTCCGCGTTCCCCCCATGTCGGAACGTAATCGCACGGTCCACCAGCTGGCACCCTGTCCCCCGGTGACAGGACCCGACTGGGACTCTGGTGCCCAGTCTTAGAGGTGGAGGCCAAACACAGTGGGGGAGGCCCCGGCCCCTCCCCACCCAGGCCCCACCACCAGGCCAGCCAGCGCCCTGGCCACGGTGCCGGCAGCCCAGGGGGAGGGCAGAGCGCCGGATGGCTCCTCCTCCTGTTGCCCCGAGGTCTGCCTGTCCCAGGGGGCCTGGGTCCCACCTCCAGCTGGGTGTGCAGGCCGCCTCAGTGAAGGTGGGCGCGCCTGCCTTGCCCCTCCTGCCTCCAGGGCTAAGCGGACTCACCGCCCCCCAGTCCACCCCAGCTTCCAGCCTGTGGAGCCGCAGCCACCTCTTGCCTGGGCTCCCACGCCAACCCACTGAGACCGCCTCTCCAAGCAGCAGCCAGGGTGAAGCCATACATGAGACAGCGCCGAGCCCCCTGCCCGAGCCCCCAACTTGGAGACAGATCGGCTTCCTGACCGCCGTGGTCAAGGTCCTGGTATAGGTGCCGGCTCTGCCTTCACTGCCCCAGAACGCCCTCTATCTCAGCGATGGAGTCCCTCCCCCATTCTCCCCGCCTGCCACGCCTCTGGGAGAAGGGCAACGCCTACGCAGGGAGGCAGGCGAGCCTGTCATCAACTTTTGCCCCTCTGCTCCGAACCCACCCTTCTTGGCTGGCCCTGCTTGATGCAGAAGGGGCTGGCCGTGCACACTGCTCCGTGGCCTGGCCGGGGCGTGCATCCAGCCTTGTCAGAAGAGGCTGCTGGTGAGGCACCGCGAAGGCAGGGCCTCCCCTAGCGCCCAGGCTCTTCCCAGCTGGCACCCGCCACCTGGAGTGTGAGGGGCCCCAACAAGCCCACCAGTGGGGCCTGCAGCCCCTCCACTGCCCCGGGCCCCAGCAGCACCCTCAGAACTCCTACCCCACCTCCCCAAGCTCCAGAGTGGCTGGCTGCTCCCTGGACCCGCTTTGCCGGAGCCTCAGCTTCATGAACAGATCTGAGTAGGGGACCCGCCGCCGCTGGTTAAAACGAGTGGGACGGCACCATCCCCTGACCTGAACCACCCCGGGATCTCCTGCCGTTATAAACTGCCTGCCGGAACCCTGGCGACCGCCTGTCTCATTGGCCTTTATTGCAGGGTCCTTCCCGAGCTGCCCCCGCAGCGCACCTGCACCCACATGCTGCCTTGCACACAGCAGCCCCGGAACAGCAACCGAGCACATGGGAAAGAGCGTTTCCTGCTGGCAGTGGGCGGAGTCAGGCCTCTGAAAACAGGGCGCGTGAGGACCGCACAGTAAATCCTTAACTGCATCCCCTTATAGTACTCAGCTCATGCAGACTTAACTTCAGTTACTATATTTGGTCCAAGTCCAATGCAGTTTAAAAGAATACAACAAAACTCACCACTGGACAATGTAAAATGCACAATGTCCAGCATCCAATAACAAAACCAACAAGCAGGGAAATATGACACATAACCAGCAGAGAAACCAATCATATAGAAATAGCCCCCAAAATAATAGACATGATGCTACCGACAGACCAGCATCTGGAGCTGGAGGTTACAGATAAGCTCCACGTGCTCAAGAAAGCGGAGGGAAGAAGCATAAACACAAGGAGAGGAACGGAACGTATAAAGAAGTAAGCAAACAGAACTTCCAGAGACGAAAACTATCCAGGAGATCAGGTGTCTGTCCCCTTCTGGGCCCACCCTCCCAGCCAAGCGGGCAGGAGCGCCTGGCCAGTGCGGCCACCACCCCATCAGTGGCGGCTCCCCGGAGTGGGGCCCTGTGCTGGGGGTTGGGGACTTAGGGGACACAGCCGCCAACAAGACCCATGCTGGCCTTGTGGGCGAAAGCGTGCAAGTTTTCTGTCACTGTGACAGACTGCCACAGAGTTAATGGCTTAAATAAGATAACACAACTGTATTGTCTTTTTAAAAAAATCTTAAAAAATAAACAGCACAGACTTAAGAACTAAGCACAGTAGATTATCAATAAACCTGAATACAAATAATAAAAATAATCCAAAGTGAAGCACAGCAAGAAACGAGACTAAAAAGAACGGATGAAGCATTTGTAAAAGAAGATCAGGACATCTCGCTCGCAGGTGACAGTGGTCCAGACAAAAGGGCGACAGGAACCCGACAGAGACGCGTGAAAGGGCGCAGGCAGCATGGGCACTACCCGCAGCCCAGGGCCACCCTCCCCGAGTCACGGTGCCCACCTCCCAGCCACAGGACACGGGTGCGTCCCAGGGTGCGAGAAACGGCACCCGAGCCTGGCCGAGGCACACACGCAACAACGTTAAACGTTAGGTCATAAAAGTTCGTTCTTGGGCTGCAGCAGACCCGAACGATCACCCATGACAAAAAGAGAGTCGAAAGATGCAAACTTCCAGTTAGAAGATGAATGCACCCTGGGGACGTCACTGCAGCATGGAGCCTTTAGCTGACAGCACTGGCCCCGGCTAGGGCGACTCAGCGGGCTGAGCACCAGCCTGCAAACTGAAAGGTCACCGGTTCCCTTCCCCATCAGGGCACAGGCTTGGGCTGCGAGCCAGGTCCCCAGGAGGAGGCGTGCAAGAAGCAACCACACACGGATGTTTCCCTCCCTCTCTCCCTCCCTTTCCCACTCTCTAAAAATAAATAAAAACTTTAAAAAATATATTTTGAGTAGAATGAAAGACAATATATCAAAATTTGGGGGATGCCACTCCAGTAATGTTCCAATAGAATTTTGTGGAATTAAATATGTGTATGAGAAAAGAAGGTCTTAAATCAATAATGTAAACTACGTAAAGAAACCAAAAGAATAACAAATTAAATCTAAAGTAGACAGAAATAATAAACTTTAAGAGCAAAAATTACTGAAATAAAAAATGGACAATCAATTCAACCAGAAGTTTAATGAAACTGATAATGATAAACGTCTAGCCAAACTATCAAGGAAAAAGAGACAAAGCTCAAACAGCGGAAATACTGGGAATGTAAGGGACGGGGCAGGACACGGTCACTGAGATCCCAGAAATTAAATGAGAATAAAGGAATATGTTCAACAACTCCGTGCAAACACATCTGACATAAAATGAATAAATCCACAGCCCACCCGCAGTCTTATGAAGATATAACTGACAGAGAGCGCTGCATAAGGTTTAGGGGGTACAGCCGAAAGCTGTGACTTCTATGTACTGTCAAAGAGTGACACAAACTTAAGACAAACATTAACAAAGCTCTCTCAGGAAGAACGAGATAACCTTTATCAAATAAACTGAACTCACAGTTCAAAACCTTCCCCATAATGCCCTTAGGGCATGTGAGGACAGAATGAGAAGACCTATAGGAACCAAGGAGAGGGGCGCGCCCCAGGCGCGGAATCTGCTGATGCTTTGATCCTGGGACTTCCCAGCCTCTGGAAATGTGAGAAACAAGTGTTTGCTGTTTACAGGCCAGAAAAACAAAACAAAGGAAAAAAAACCTGACCTTCCCAATAAGGCAACGCGTGGTCAGGACAGCTTTGCTGGGGAATCCTACCAAACATTTAAGGTAGAAATAGTACCGATGCTACACAAACTTTTCCAAAAAATTCTCAAAGATGAGAGAATACTTCCTAGTTCATTCCATAACATATTAATTACACTGACACCAAACCACACAAAGATATTCTGAGACAAGAAATTTACAGACTAGTATCCTCCATGAATACAGACGCAATAATCCTTAAAACATTTGCAAATTCAATATTGCAACCTACAGAATGGATAATAGCTTGGATTATCCCAGGAATGCAAAGTTCTTTCAATATTTAAAAAATTATGATACCATAAGTAATTTTCACAAACTAAAGAAGAACTTCTATGATCATCTCAATAGATGTAGGAAAAGTTGGAACAAATTAAATATCCATTCACAACAAGTCTCGGCGAACTAAAAACAGAAATAAAGTTCTTGAACCTGACCTGCCCCACTCTACAGCTAACCTCATACCTCACGGCAACAGAAGAGATGCTGTCCCCTGGGAACAGGGATGGGGAGGGCTGTCTGCTCATACCGCTCCTATGCAACATCACACCAGAGGTTCTACCCAGGGTAAAAAGGCAAGGAAAAATGAAATACGGACTGGAATAGAAGAAATATGTTATTTGTAGATGAAGTGATCATCTACA